GTAACAAACTATCTCTGTTGTTATAAAAATATATATATATATATATATATTATAACATTACAAATTTGTTAAAGAACAAAATATATTAACAGGCATAACATTAACGACAAATTTATTATAATATCTCTGTCGTTTTACACATAAAATTCAGTTTAAATTGTAATATGTATTGTTTGCAAAGTGAACTTATTAATAAATAGTTATCTTTAGTCTATAAAATATAAAAGAATGAATAAAATATTATTAAATATATTTACTTACGTTGAATATTGAATAATGAATTCACATAAATTTCTTCGACTTTCTATCTGTTCAGCTTAAAGAAGGTTAATAGTTATACATTATACACATTCAAAGATAAAATTTAATCAAAACTTCAAAGTTTAAAGTTTAATCACTTGTTTATGTTAGTGTAAATTGTTATCGTATTCGAAAATCGTAATATTAAATCTACATAATGTAAACTGAAAACTCCAGATTTCTACTTAATAGAAACGTTTGGAATCGATTCAAATAAGCCCTGTTTAACCACGTTTATGTTTGAAACAGTTAACTAAGATTAATGTTAATGTGAATATCGATATTAGTCCATGTGTTGAAACGGCTGTCTCAAGTTCAGCGCATAAAACTTTAGCGATATAAATTTTGACCAAGAATGCAAATCGAAACATTTTAGTAAATTTGTAATATGTCTGTCAATATATTTGCTATACGTTTTTACTTGCAGCGTGATGGATTAGGATAGATTTTGTTTGTCAAATGTTACGTTAATAGCAGAATAATAAAACACTAGACGCAGTCACTCGATGAATATTGAAACGCTACAGAAACAGGTCAGATGTGACATAATAAACTTCATTTCTGATAGAGACAGCTTCGTGTTGCTTTGTAGTAGTTGCATCTTTTAACAGAATCGAGTAATAGAACTTTTACCTCACACTAATGTTAGAAGAGGAAAGCAGACGAAACTATTAAACAAATAAATTAAAAAACTTTATATATTAAGCTCTTATTATTAGTTGTTCGAGAGTAGTCTATTATAACACGTATACAAGTAGACTATCTGATTGATCTCAGTTATTAGTTTGCATCTTTTCCGTTTTATAGGGTTTAAAAAGATTTTTTTTTTTTTTGAATGATTATTGTGGATTCTGTAAAATCCCAAATACAGGTGACGGTATAATAAGGGAAGGCTCCTGTATAGACTGTCTATGACAAGTTTGTGATGTTTGGTTTTATTTGGTATGGTGGAATATTGCAAAAAGTGCATTCCATGAGGACTTTTCTGGCTAACTGGTTCTATTACGGTATTAGACACACAAGAAAACCTGAAAACTGCACGTAGTTAGCTTGTTGTTTAAAAGAAAATTTGCGATGAAATACCAGTAAAATTAGAGTAATGATAACTTTATCAAAGGAATTACGAAGATTTTTTAAATACAGTACAAAGTATAAAAATGTTTTTTTCTAAAGCTTACAATAAAATGTAATATATAAACTTTCATCCATAATTTGAGAAACTCCACATATAACAAACAGTATGAGTTCAACACGACGGTATTTGCTGTCAAATATTACAAACATCCCTTATGTAAATCAATGTTTGTAATATTGATTTCTAAAGAAACTCTTTTCTTTCTTTTGGAAAAATGACGCTCGTGAGTGTCATATTTATCAGTTCTTTTCAATCCATTGTCCAGCCACAAAAACCAGTTACAAAGAATGCATATTATGATTCCAGTTACTCTTCATTTGTAGGTACGTACTTATTGTACTTGATTGCAGAAATGAATACGTAATATATTTTATCCTTATCATAATAAATACAAATCGAAGTATAGGACTTTTACGACTTGTAACCCGGAGATCTCTTCTGAAACTGACACTTTTAAAAACAATGTAGTGTGGTAGATTAGGCACAGCGGCGATTACTATAAACGGAACATTTTTATGCTAAACAGCAAAAGCTCTATCTTGAACTTTAACTGCTGACAGTAATTTTAAAAAGAAAAAGCAAATAAACGTGTGTTCGTCATAAAATAAAAGCGTCTAAGTAGAAAGTGGCTGCTACTAGTAGGAAAGATAAATTATCCATCTAAACAGTTACTATTTCCTTAATCTTTATGTACAGTATATCGAAACAAAATTAAGCCAACTGCGACAGGTATGTACTATGACTATAATGTCATTGTTTCCGATCGAATAGAAAGCACCTTGTGTGCCTCATGATGGCCTCTAACATGAATCAAACACAACTCACTTTATAAGGAAATAAGTAGTTAATTTTCTCAAAGCATGCATTTCTCGTCTTTATGTTTTATTAAAGTTGTTGATGGTATAGATATAAATTTTAGCTGTGAGGTAACAATTTCTTATGGTAGTGAAGTTAGTCATTGCCAGTGTTATACGTAGTTATTCTAGTACGTGAGGGCACGTTTCTTATCACTCACCGATTTTTATTTTGGGCTTGGCAAAAATCGTAATGGTTTTCAAAAAAAAAAAAAAAAACATTTGCGTGTGCATTGATGAATTCTGGCCATTTTATGCTATCTGAAGTAAGGTTAAATGAGATAATAGCATTTAAAATTTAGATTAATTAGTTTTATACTAGATTTAACGTTATCGTAATATTCGCTATATTTATCTACACGAAATGCTAACAGAAAGAATTTTTCAGAATATGATTTATAAGTAACTTCCCTATTTTCGATGCTTTATTGCTAATAATCGCCTCCATAACAGTAATATGATTAATAATTAATCAATTCTCATGTTACTGTTTAGCTAAACTGTCTTTATGTTTGGGCCGATTATTTAATTTCGCGTAATAATACTACTGATGACTGATCTATATCAGTAAGCATCAGATTTTTTAAACTAAGATTAACCAATTCATTAATCTTCTTCCTTAAATATTTTAAATTGAACGGGCTTATGTCCTTAATTATCGAATATTGTTGCATAAGAAAGAAAAACGGATTATCACTGAATTGTTAAATCGCAATAAATATTGATAATTATAACTGCTATATAGTTATATAATTTACATAAAACGATTATACCATAAATTAAAATTTGGCAATAGAACTCAATCTTAATTTACGGTCGTATTAAACGAAAAATTGTACACAATTTTCTCATTTTGTGGATAAACATGAGATTAAAATGTACATTTTAAAGTTGTGATAATTATCTGGATTTCAATTAAACAATACAACATGATATAGTCTAAATGTGTTTACTATCTAAATCACTGCAATGTGATAACGTAAAAGATTTGATATAATTTACATAAGAAATTGAACACAAGTATGAATTAACGACAATAACGAACACAATTCGATGAATAGACAAATGAAAACAATACTTTATTAACTTTTACAGTTATTTTATTACAAGAAAGGCATATACATTTTTATGTTTAAAATTTATATACATAATAATTTCTACATAATACCTATAGCAAATAAATAGTGACACTTTTTTTTTGCATATTCTAATCGTAGTCAACGAGTACATAAGTATATCGATACTGGATAAGTTATATATAATATGAGAACTCCATCAGTATATATATTTTTATTTTATTTCATTACAGAACAAACTGACATTGATAAGTGAATCATACATCAGTTTAGTTTATTTTATGCTTACGAATGAATTCATGAATTAGTTTAACAACTGTTATACAAGTCCATTGTTTTAGATTATTGACATTTGTTTACAGGAGTTATAGACAGACAAAAAAATAAGACACGGATTTCTAAATTGTAAAACTAAAAACGTCAAATATCCGTTCGAAAAATATTTTTATCGTGTGTTAATTCATCAAGTTCCCTCAAGTTTCAGACATTATTTCTTGGGTATAATACAATATAATTTTTGAAAACATGATACTTGTATTTACGTTGTTATCTTATCGATAGACAGGAAAAAATATGTTATAATTAATAAAAATTGTTTACTATAAATAAAACAATACGATACTAAATTGATCAGAGCTGAACCTTTGAAAAATATAAAGAGACAATTCAATAACTTATTATGAAAATGTAAAACCTTAATCTGAAAGTGAAGTAAGAGAAGATACTAATAAAAACAATAAAGTATGTTTTTCCTGGCTGTTAACATAGCGACAAAAATGGTAACAGATAAAATTTTGAATTCGCAAATTGGTCATTTTTCCGAATTCAGTAATACGAAACCGCAAAGAAAAAGTTGTATGGCTTTCGACTTATGTTTTGCATCATAATTTAAAAATACAACTGTTTTCAAACTTCGCAGGATAATTTCTATATATACGGTGTACGAGATATTAAAATTTATAGGATTTTAATAATATTAAGGGAAAACTTATCTATCATGTAGTGTGAAACATTGACTCGCATTTGGAATTTACAGATTTTTTTTTTAAGAACTTACCTTTAAAAACACATAAGTGGAAAACATACTCACCGATTCTGTATATCAAATTTAATGAAAAATACGTACTCAGGCAACTGTCAGTGTCTTAAAATATGACGTAAATCATCACACATGACATGGGATTACGATATATCCTTAAAACTAATATTCGAGTTTTTGATGTTTTTTTAATCGAAAATTAAATTAATCAGCATTATTTAATGAATGAATTATTCTTATGATTTAAACCTTCCATTTCAATTAGCGCATTTCCTGTGTATTCAATCTTACGTGTAGAACTTTTTAAACAAGAAGGGATAAAATCCAAAAGACTCAGTATTACTGGCAATATAACAAGACTATGAAACGAAGCGAATATAACCATTAATGTAACAATTTTAAAAATAGCAACGAACGATTCTGATGGACCAAATGATAACACTGAAACACTTAACATTGTTGATATACATGCTTGTGTTACTGGATATCCAGCAACGTATAAACAACTCTTGATTTTCTCGTTCGGTGTTTTATTTCCGCAATTGATAAATGCGTAAGCCATATGAACTGTGTAATCTACACAAAACCCCGTGCTCATCACTAATATCATTAATGCAGTAGTATTGACAGTTACGTTCCATAATGACATGTATCCAATCAAGCCAACCTGAATAGACACAATAGTGATTGCAACAGATGTAAGAAACATTACGTTTGGAGTAAATAACAGAAACACTAAAATTACTATCGCTGCAGCACATGAAATATGTTTTTATACAGTTTGAAAGAATATTAATATATAGTTCATAATAGATAAATTTGAAATTGTATGCCATAATTGGAAATTTGCTTTTATCGGCAATTTTTCTTACATTTTCAAAGAAAAACTTTTCGTCAATTCGAGATTCTCCATCGAAACTGGACACGATGAATCTGGATGCAATAATTTTATCACCTTTTTTCATTAAAGATAACGTCGTTTCTTAACCTGTTCGCTACTTTTGCTTTCAAGAAAACGTCTTTAAATGCACTCAGAAAGTCTTCAGAATCACTCAGATTGTAACCAGAAAGCGAAAACTTCGCAACTGGAGATTTAGTAAATGCTAGAAATTCTCTCAGCCAACTTTCTGTGGTCGACGAATCGGATATAAATGGAGCAGACTCGTAACTTTGCAGAAGATCTTCTATGTCATTTTGTACGGTGAGATTTGAGTAGTCTAATTTCTGGTTAATGACTATTTGCACTTGATGACTATAATTAGAAAAATACTTGTTTTCAAAGCTTAAATATTCAGTTGCGTAAGAAGAGTAAGGAAACAATTTACTTATGTCTTTTTTTTCTTGAATAAATGTCATACAGTAAATTGCACCAGTTAAATAAATTATGAACATTAAAAGAACAGTAATTTTACTAATTGATTTTTCGAGTATTTTACCTAAACTGTTACTTATAAATGCCATGAAATTATTTTCTTTTTTATTTTGTTTAGAATTTGTTTTTATCCTGTTTTCACCTTTTAGATGAATGCTGTTAATTGGCCAGCAAACGAAAGAATGCAGCTTATTCTTCTCTCTATATCCGTCGAGCGCCATTAGTCCTCCAAAAAAATAATAACTGAAAAATATAGTCAAATACGATTGATAGAGATGCATACGCACTGAATATATGAATCATTTTGTATGGTGTTACAAATCCCATGCAAAAGGCAAAAAAATTCGTCAGAGACGTTATGGTGATGGACACTGCAGCTTCGGCATAAGAGTCTTTCATTCTGTCGGGTACGGAAGCGTTAACGTCAGTTCTTCTCCACGCAGCTATCAATATAAATGCATCGTCTACACCAATACCTGAAATATTCATAAAAATGTAATTACATTTTCGAATTTTTCACACAAAACCTTTCCAATCTTTCTGTTTATTTATATTATTTTTATTCCGGTCCAGGAACCACAAAACAGCCGGCGACACTAAGAACAAATCTTCTAAAAATAAAAGACAAATACAGGCATACCTCGACTTACGTCGTTTCGAGTTACGTCGTTCCCGATTATACGTCGTTTGTCAAAAAAGTATATGGAAAAATAAAAATCAAGTTTAAGTCATTTTATTCGACTTTACGTCCGTCCGCCACAAATATTGAAGTCGTAATATCACTAGAAAAGCGTTTAAAGCACATAAAATCATATTAAAATATATACATTTACAAGTATTTACTTCATTTACAGTACAGTACATGCATTCGTAAATTTAGATTACTTTTTTCTGTACTCTATTAAAAACTAAAATTTATTTGTTTGTAAGCTTAAAATAGATTCTTATTAGCCATATATTATTAAAAATGCATTAATAAATAAAATACAGAACTGGGAATAGTAATTTATGGTTTTTTCTAGTGACAAGTAGATTCGGAGACAAGTAAATTCGACTTACCGTCGTTTTTCGACTTAAGTCGTTTTCCTGGAACCAATTACCGACGTAAGGCGAGGTATACCTGTACAATCAAAAAACCTCACACACAATTAAAAATGATCTCGAAATGTACACAAAAGTGCCATTTTTAATTGTATTTGAGGTTTTTTTGATTGCATTTNCGTCGTTTTTCGACTTAAGTCGTTTTCCTGGAACCAATTACCGACGTAAGGCGAGGTATACCTGTACAATCAAAAAACCTCACACACAATTAAAAATGATCTCGAAATGTACACAAAAGTGCCATTTTTAATTGTATTTGAGGTTTTTTTGATTGCATTTGTCTTTTACTTTTAGAAGATTTGTTCTTCGTGTCGCCGGCTGTTTTCTGGTTCCTAGACTGGAATGACAATAATATAAATAGACAGAAAGACTGAAACATAGTTTGTATAGTCATGTATTTCAATTCAGATAATTATTGTCTATTGAAAGAAGAGAGAAGTGATTGTTAATGACTGAGCACTTTAACTTGCTACTTTACTGCACATAAGTAATGTAATATCACGGAAAAATTTAATTGTGTGTTTTTTTTCGAAAGGTTTTGTCAATAAATTTTTAACAGTGTTACATTCTTCAATTAGAGCAGATATTTGTTGAAAATGTAGTTTTCAAATGAACTTTTTCAATAAAAATAAAATTAAGCTTCGTATAGAAATTAATCGTTTGTTCTTTTGTCGCAATTAGTATATAATACGAAAATGTACTATCATCAATTTAAACTTACTTTTTTTGTTACTTTCCTGGCTGTTTTTACAAAACATTTCTTTCTGGCTGTTGTAATATAATAGTAATCGTGTTACATTTGACTTTCCGTGTTTTTCTAATGGTGACTTTATTACCTGTAAACACAATACACAAGTCGACCCTTGTATAACACTGTTGATTATTCCGTTTTATATGAATTCCATGTTGTACGAGTCATTTGGATTTTACAAATACGTGAGCCGTTCATAGCCCGGCACACGTATTTGTAAAATCTAAGTGACTCGTACAACATGAAATTCATATAAAATGGAATAATCAACAGTGTTATAGGGGGTCGACTTGTAGATTTACAAAATTGATGTCAGGAATGTATATATGTGTGTCAGTGTGTATTTCGTTTAATTAATATTTCCGGGTGGGTTAGAGGTTGAGAAACGAAATTTGGTATGATAACTTGCATATAAGTGGCGTTGATGCTATTAAATTTTGTTGGTTAAAGTTTTAGGGGTGTCTTGTATGATATCTCGAAAGAGGTCGATCTTGATGAAAATTTCATTTATTATTACCATTCACAAATTTTTTTATAAAACTTACTTTCAATATTAAACTTTTTGTTATTTTATAATAATCAGTAATAACATCTCGTAACAGATGGCGCTACACACGATTTTATTTATTATGATTAATATGATAAATTTTTATGTTTTTAGATAAATATCATAATAGACATAAAGTTAAGCAACTCGTTAATCTTTTTAAAACTGTGTAAACATAAGACGGATTTTAATCAATAAGTATTGGTAGGTAAGCGATAAAAGGCTAAATAAGGAATTTAAATGAATATAGTATCTATGAATATATCAATTTATATTGAATATGAAATGGATTTAAGTTTAAATAAATGAGATATAAGCCTACGATTTCAAATTCTGTAATTTAAATCACAATTCTATGTTAGAGATAGCAAATAATTTAGAATTTTCCTATGGCAGTACTGTTTTAATTGACTTGGTAGCTTCACGAACATGTAACAAAAAGTACTTGGTATAAGTACTGCTATTTTGTTTGGAAGTATCACGTGGAAAGTTTAAAAACGAAAAAATTGTTTTCAGTTTTTTTCACGGATATCGACAAAAGTATGTGCGAAGAGTTCTGTGAGTCATTTCCTTTGGAAAATTATACACAATCGATCGAGGACATATAACACTTTCTTCACGACAGAATAAATAAGTCAAAACCTAGATCACCAAAGATACAAGAATAAAAATAACTTTTCTGACGAAAAATTTTGCAAGTAGTACCGATAATCCGGTAGATATAGCTTTACAATCAGCAAAAGAGACGAAGGGTTTGATGACAACGATAATTCATCTGTAATGGACTTGGGAAGTTTTCCCAATAAACATTTCTATACCAACATTTAACCGACTAGACAAATTTTTATTGTCGATGTCGTATTTTCATGTTATAATAAGTATACTTATATTTTACAAAGAGTAATAATCATGTATACACTTAGTTTGAAAAGTATACAGAAAACTATGCATACAACTTATTTCGATATATTTAAGTGTAAATCATAGTAAAAGGTTATTTCTTACGCATTTTCGAATGAAGCAAAAGTGCCTACCAGTGAACAAGTAAACAAAACTATCGAACATTACGTTGGTCGTGCATTTCTTCTAAATATACAATATAATACAATTAATACAATAATAAAATGTACAATAGAAATTACAGTTTTTTCTCGGTTCAATTAAATTTGATAAAAGACAGTTTCATTATAATGAAAATGCATTTTGTGCTTTTTAAAATATTATTTGATCGATAGCATTGGGGTAGCTGGGGGAGATTTCCAGAGGTGTTGGAAGTAAAAAATAAATATTTATAAAAATAAAATTGTTACCAGTTGACTAAATCTTATCTAACAGAAAGAAAATTACTGTAATTTATCACCTCCGGTTAAAAAATTTTCTACATTCTTCGGCTAAAATAATAATATAATAGTTTTCCGCCATTTTGTAAATATCCTCATGTATATTCTTATAAAGAAACAATCTCTTATTAAAATGTATCAAACATAATTTTCATTCAATTTTCAAACGTAAAAACTCATAGAAAATAAACATTTTTAAATATTAAAAATTATAACGAGCAATTATTTATTGTGACATCGTCACAGTGCCAAGCTGCAATTTTTAATCATATTTTAAAATCGTTTAATTGAAAACGTATGCTCTGCACGTCAAATTAGTTGGGTAGTGTTTTGTCCCTGTACTGTACAGGTACAGTACATCATACTTCTCCTATAACAATATAGTCGTATCGATCTTCTATTAAACAACTGCTTTCAGGGTACAAATCTGAAAGGAAATAACGTGATTTCCGGTTTTTATATAAGAAGTCAGTACAGTATAGTTAATCGGGATCTAATTTTCCTATTACTTTGATGAAACAACGCTCTTGTTTTCCGAATATAAAGTGAATTCAGATAATTAGTTGTTATAGATTCTAAATACTATACATCATATAATTAGTTCAAGCTGCTTTAAGTTAAACATGAAAAAATTCATCACGTTCCGGATGAAAAGCTGTCTGTTTCCTCATATTATTTTCTATTCACTGACGAACCCGACTGTTTGCAACAATGTTTCAAACGTTGTTGCAAACAGTGTTTGACTGTGTGAAAGTGAATGAAATGTGTGAAAGTACTAGTGAATGAAAGTGAAAAGTACTAGCGAAATATGCCAGTACTAACAGTAAAAATTAAACTCGTATTCATATTGATTATCACACTCTTTCATGACAAGACTTTACTTGAATCATCTCAAGTTATGATTTTTCCATGAACATTTTCTCACCACTGATAGAGGGAATATAGCTACAGATTACTGGTATTTCATCGCAAATTTTCTTTTAAACAACAAGCTAACTACTTGCAGTTTTCAGGTTTTCTTCGTAAGTCTAATATCGTATTACAACCAGTTAGCCATAAAAGTCTTCACGGGATGCACTTTTTACTAAATCGCTGTTGAATGAGGTTGCAGTATTCCACCATACTAAATCAAACCAAACACCACAAACTTGTCATAGACAGTCTATCCAGGAGCCTTCCCTTATTATACCGTCGCTTGTATTTGGGATTTTACACAATCTACAATGATCATTCAAAGAAAATATTTTTAAAGTATACAAAACGGAAAAGATGCAAACTAATAGTCCCTATCAGAAGTTAAGTTTATTATGTCACATCTGACCTCTTTATGTAGCGTCTCAATATTCATCGAGTGACTGCGTCTAGTGTTTTTCTTCCTGCTATAACGTAACATTCGACAAAAAAGTAAAAATGTATAGCAAATATATTGACAGACGTATTACAAATTTACTAAGAAGTTTTGATTTGCATTCTTGGTCATAATTGATATCGCTAAATGTTTATGCGCTGAACTTGAGACAGTCGTTTGAACACTGGGACTAATATCGATATTCACATTAACATTAATTTTAGTTAACTGTTTCAAACATGAACGTGGTTAAACAGGGCTTATTTGAATCGATTCGAACCGTTTCTATTAAGTAGACATCTGGAATTTTCAGTTTACATTATGTAGATTTAATATTACGATTTTCGAATAAAGATTTACGATTTACGATAAAAAGGATTGGCTTTTAAAAGTTTATACACAATCATAAACAAGAGATTAAACTTTAGACGTTAAACTTTGATTAAATCTTATCTTTGGATGTGTATAATGAATAACTATTAATTTTCTTTAAGCTGTACAGACAGAAAGTCGAAGAAATGTATGTAAATTTATTATTCAATATTCAACGTAAGTAAATATATTTAATAATATTTTATTTATTCTTTTATATTTTATAGACTAAAACTAACTTTTTATTAATAAGTTCACTTTGCAATCAATAGATATTACAATTTAAACTAAATTTTATGTGTAAAAATACAGATTTCTTATAATAAATCTGTCGTTAACATTATGCCTCGTAATATATTTTCTTGTTTAAGAAATTTGTAATGTTATATATATATATATAATAACGATGACTATCTACTTAAAGACACAAAATCGCATTAGATAAAATTAATAATAATAATAATAACACTAATTAATATTTAACAAAACGTTTACAAAGGCGTATTGAATAAATGCATTTTCAAATTAATAGCATTTTTATTACGACATATTAATATTATCTTTATCGAGCATCGACGTTCTATAACCCTTGTACTAAACTTTCGTTACGTCACTATTTATTTTATTCTATTATTTAATTTAAAAAAAAACAATTTCTTTTTATAGAAATCTATTTCTTGAAGTTTTTCACTTATCTTACGATTTTAGAATGAAAATGGAGCATAGAAATATAAGAAGGATTGTTTCTACAACATTATCTCGTATTGGATTTCATGTCGGTTGTTATCCTCAAATATATGTTGCAGTTTCTTTTATAACGTCACTCGTTTTAGCAACCGGACTGTTAAATATTCCGCTACAGAAGGATGTAGAATATCTTTACATTCCATCCAATGCAAAAAGCATGATCGACAGAGCTGCTATTGAATCGATTTTTCCAACCAACATGTCACAGTGCGATTATAGAAGAACAACAAGGTTTGAAGCATTCGCAACAACACTAGTTACGCCTGGAAACGGAACTTCTGTATTGGAGGAATCAATAATCGAAGATGTCATCAAACTTGACGAAATTATTCAAAATGTCACCATACTTTGGAATAACACATTCATACGTTACTCAGATTTGTGTTGTAAGATGGACGGGAATATTTGCCATAAAAATTTTGCTTTGACTTTGAAAGGAAAAACAAATGATATCAAGAAAGCAAAATACGACATCAAGTAAGTTCTTATTTATCTTATGGAATTTTGCTATTTTAAACGGTCTAAAATAAACATTGTAGTCGTTGTAAATTGGGTTGATAATTCACGGTGTGTCTCCCGTATACATACATTTTTTTGTAAAAATTTCCTAATGTTACAAGCATTTTAATGAAGTAATCTGCAGAAATATTTTAGTCAATGGTCAGTACATTTATTATTGCATTAATATCAATGTATAAATATTAGATTTGTAAGTATAGTTAAGTCACTATGTTTCAGACATAATATCTTCTTGATTATACTCGAATCTATTAGCATCGCGAAAATTTGAATTTTGATTTATGGGTGAAAATCCCATGTGGCAGGCTTTTGGACTGGCATGAATGCATGTTTCTTTGTTTTACCAGAGTCGATATAAGTATTGCTGCTTGCACTATGCTGTTGAGTGCAGTTGTTGTTTCAGGTAGCCGATAGCTGGTGTTACAGTTCCTCTACGGCGAAAAATTGGTTTATCTATTTAATTCCAGGAAGTTTTTCTGGTTCTTTTTACTTCTTTCTGTTGTTCTGTAAAAAGAATTATTTGTAATTATATTTTGAAAGTTTATTTTATGTGTAAAAAAGGAAAAAGTGTATTTGCATTATAAAAATAATTTGATAATTTTAAATTACAGATGAAGATGTGGATAAATCAAAAATAATTTTATTTTCAATTTGGTTTATCCAAATTTTAAATAAAGATCTGTTTAGAACTGTTATATTGCTAAATATTGTAAATGAAAGTTTTGTACATAATGTTATGGTAAAATAAGTACATAAATTTTCATTTTACTGTTATATTTTATTACATATCTATGGCAATATAATTAGAAAAACTATAGCTCATACTCTGATACATTTAAATAACCATAGAAAGTTAATCCAGAGAAAGTTAATAAATTATTTAAAAAATAGTTCAACACTACATAAAATGTGCTATACAATTTTACTTGATTCACAATAGTACATAGTATTTCAATTCAAATAGTTTCGTATTTTACAGTCTAATAACTTTAAAGTATAAAATCGTGAAAGTGACAGTTTCATAATAGTATCATTCCATTTATGAACTCCCAACAATGTGAAAGGAGCAACTTTTGCTGTTATTACTTGGCTAAATAATTTTAATTTTTCTCTTGTTAGTTTTATTTAATCGATATTCAATAACGATTTGGAATGGCTATTGTAAATGATATTTAGTGTTTTATGCCAAATCGTGAAAGGTCACTTTTTGTTCTCCTCAAGAAAACAAAAATATCATCAAGTCAATTAGGATAAATTATCATCTTCGTAAAAAATTCATAATGCATCGATTCCAAGTGAGCGTAATCTATTTTCATAAATAATTACAGATGGAAGACTTAAAGCAAAACGGAGGCAAAACAAATCATCTCTTGAGAATCAGTTAAAATTATAAAATGTTACAAGTATTGTTGGTTTTTTCATTTTTTACTTTAATTTAATCACTTACCGAAAATAAATCAAGCAATCACAATCTGTCATTTCATTTAAATTCATACTTAGTTTTGTCACAGGTATAGCTTTAATTATATGATATAATAAAATGGCTTCTTCATCAGTAGATTACTAATAAAATTTTAATTAAGCGCTTACTTTGCGAAAACTACAGAAAAAAAAGTAAACATAGAGTTTCTATGGTCACTTCACATCACTTTAAAAAATATTCAATAATTAAATAATTTCTGAATTAAAATCATTTATTTTTAACAATATTATTCATAAATGTTTAAGTCAGTGGCGTAGCGTAGTGGGAGCTGTAGGGGCGGCCCGCTCCGGGCGGCACTTTTTAGGGAACTGAAAAATTTCACAATAAATAATAATAATATCTTGAAAAATTTCAACCATTTTATCCCATATTTTCGTCGCACCTACGATTCGGACCGACTGAAATGAGCACGGAATAGTCCGGGAATTGACTCATCGTCCGAGTGAACTATTAATTTCACTCTGGGATGTCCGGGTGAACTATTAATTTCACTCTGGGATGTCCGGGTGAACTATTAATTTCACTCGGCCTGTCGAATTTTTGTTTTGTTTATTCAATGAGGCTATTTTAAACAGGTGGCTACTCTGGTACACTGGCAAGGAAATTTTCATTACTTGTTCTGTTACGAAACTGAATTTTGGTCTTTTAAATTGAGATACCTAAATAACAAGACGACGAAATTTTCTTCCGCCCCGGGCAGCTGATACCCACGCTACTCTGCTAGTTTAAGTAATCATTATTTTATTAATAAAACGCGTCATAACTTTAACCCCAATCGCATAAAAATGACATAAAAATGAAGAAGTTTAAGCCGATCTTCTACTCATCAAGCTGGACGTACCAAATGCCATTGTCAACCTTTCACACTGGCAAGATGGCGGCGCTCGACAACCGACGTTCACGTCTTCGCGATGAAACCGTCGGCCGTAACCTCTCTACTAACTGTTTTCCAACTGTCTAAGTGTTAATTTTTATCTTAGTGATAAAAATTAATTAACACGTAAGTATGGCACAGTGAGTAAAATAATTTAAATATTAGAATAACATGTATACTTATAACTTTAAATTATAATTTCATTCAATTCCTATGTTATTAAAATGTATTTGTATGTGTTTGTAATTAAAATTTTTAAAATATTTTTACAAACTTATTACAGATATCCAGTTGACATCTTCCAGGACACATTAATAATGTCTGCTGTTGAATTCGGAGGAGTGACTTTAAATGAGAAAAACATGATTCGAGATTCTAAGGCAATTAGATTGGTTTATGCATTGGACCGCACCACTAAAGAGAAGACGCAAATGGCACTGAAATGGGAACAGACGTGTTTAGATGCATTATCAAACATTAAATTAAACAATATTAAAATATCTAAAATGTTCAGTCATTCTGTTAATAATGAAATTAACCGGATTGGTGAAAGTGGATTGCCTCTTATTTTGATTATTGCTCCAATTATGCTGGTATTTTCAGCAGTTTCTTGCATGTCAACTGATTCACTCAGTAGCAAACCGTGGTTGGGTATTGCTGGATGCGTATCACCATCCTTAGCAACAGTTGCAGCATTTGGTCTACTGTGTTACTGTAGAATAGATTACACATCAACTAATGTATTAATCTTATTTCTGATTTCAGGTATGTGTTAATAAATTTCTATCTAAAAAATGAACATCAGATACTGAAAAATAATTATTTTTATATTGCAAAGTTTTTTCTTGATAATTTTACATATTGAAATAATCTTATTTAAATTATTTCTATTCAACGCTATCTAAAGAAATATTCAGCTGCCCAAAGAACAAAACCCTGTACTGTAAGGTCTCGTTTTATGCGGTGGATACGTTCTATAGAAAAGCGCATATAAAAAATTCGCATAAAAAAAGACATTACTTGCCGTGAAAAAGTAGGGATACGTTCCGTAATTTTCTAAAATCGCATAAAACCAAAACAACGAGTTAAAATTAACTTAAAACCGCATAAAAAGTTTGCAGAAATTAAAAGAAATAGGCTGCTTAATAAATTACTTCGAATGTCTGAAAGAAATTCATATAAAAGCTTAAAATAAACTTGTATTCAAACTTAATTCAGTTTATTTTATTGGAAAGTAATACAAGGGGAATCCCTGAATTGCAAAAGCTCACTCTAAAAACAAATCACTGACATCTGGATGTGAAGAGTTCCTCGCCCGAGTTAACTCGGGCAGGTTACATAGCGTTACATAAAACACAACCCTTAAGGCCATTTTTGAAATTTTTTTTGAATTTTTGGAATGTTTTTTAAGTCTCCAAATTTTAAAAAATATTTAAAAATATACGGCCAGCTAGTGTTCACCCTACTTTAAACCCTTGTCCTCCCGCGACGTCTATGAGAATGCCCCGGGAAATCCAACTCCAGCTGTGTTCAAGGTCATCTAGATGTGTAAACAATGACTCAGTTAAATTTCACAAAAGGGAAATTTCACAAAGGAAGTTAAACTTTGAAGCTTTTTCTTCATAATTAACGCATTTCGTTTGTTTTTTTTTCAGTTTTAAGTATTTTTTATGTTTAATTACATTTATATCAAAAATTGCTAGGAACTAAAGCGATTAAGGTAGATCTAGCTGTCTTTTACATCCATAAACGTTATATGTCAGTGGAAAAAATGGAGTGAGCTTTGAGCGTTCAACGATTTTTGGAGACTGTCTATACGCGGGTTTCCTAAACAAGCCTATATGTATGTTTGTCCAAGAAATTTTTGGATGAAATACANGGCAAGGAAATTTTCATTACTTGTTCTGTTACGAAACTGAATTTTGGTCTTTTAAATTGAGATACCTAAATAACAAGACGACGAAATTTTCTTCCGCCCCGGGCAGCTGATACCCACGCTACTCTGCTAGTTTAAGTAATCATTATTTTATTAATAAAACGCGTCATAACTTTAACCCCAATCGCATAAAAATGACATAAAAATGAAGAAGTTTAAGCCGATCTTCTACTCATCAAGCTGGACGTACCAAATGCCATTGTCAACCTTTCACACTGGCAAGATGGCGGCGCTCGACAACCGACGTTCACGTCTTCGCGATGAAACCGTCGGCCGTAACCTCTCTACTAACTGTTTTCCAACTGTCTAAGTGTTAATTTTTATCTTAGTGATAAAAATTAATTAACACGTAAGTATGGCACAGTGAGTAAAATAATTTAAATATTAGAATAACATGTATACTTATAACTTTAAATTATAATTTCATTCAATTCCTATGTTATTAAAATGTATTTGTATGTGTTTGTAATTAAAATTTTTAAAATATTTTTACAAACTTATTACAGATATCCAGTTGACATCTTCCAGGACACATTAATAATGTCTGCTGTTGAATTCGGAGGAGTGACTTTAAATGAGAAAAACATGATTCGAGATTCTAAGGCAATTAGATTGATTTATGCATTGGACCGCACCACAAAAGAGAAGACGCAAATGGCACTGAAATGGGAACAGACGTGTTTAGATGCATTATCAAACATTAATTTGAACAATATTAAAATATCTAAAATGTTCAGTCATTCTGTTAATAATGAAATTAACCGGATTGGTGAAAGTGGATTGCCTCTTATTTTGATTATTGCTCCAATTATGCTGGTATTTTCAGCAGTCTCTTGCTTGTCAAAGGATTCACTCAGTAGCAAACCGTGGTTGGGTATTGCCGGTTGCGTATCGCCATTCTTAGCAACTGTCGCAGCATTTGGTCTACTGTGTTACTGCAGAATAGATTACGCATCAATTAATGTAATAATCTTCTTTCTGATTTCAGGCATGTGTTAATGAAATTCGATATAAATAATGAATATCAGATATTTAAAAAAATTATTCTTATATTGCAAAGTTTTTTTCCTGATAACTTTACATATTGAGATGATCGTATTTAAATTATTTCTATTCAACGCTACCTATAGAAATATTCAGCTGCCAAAAGAACAAAACCCTGTGTTGTGTGATGTTTTCAACATGCCGTAAACAATACGGTAATACGTTAGTATCAAAAATTCTCACTATAACGTTTTCGAGCAGCAAACAATTTAAATTTCTGCGATACATTCACACAGTACAGAAATCGTAGCCATGCTGGAGCAATTGCTCATTTTAATGATCAAAACCTCAATGCGATAAATAGTGTATTTAACCTGTCACTGTACTGCTTTGTAATGATTCTCTTACACAGCCTGTTAATAACTTTGCAAGCTACCAAGTTTACAACATACTTTTAAAAAACACACTTCATCAGTGTCTCGGACACGAAGAAATAAGATGTATTCAGATTGATAGAACTTGGTCGTCAAGCGATTGAAAAAGTATAGTAATTAATTTCTTACCAGTGAATATTTGCTATCCAAATTCTTGTATATACCATCCGATATGCAGGTACAGTACTTGCATGCCATATCTTTAAAAGTAACGGGAAAATCATATTGTCACTTTATGCATTTCATGAAGTAAGAATATGGTCGGTCTTAGAGCTATACAGATGTAACAGATGTAAACATTTGAAATGTCTTAGTAGTAACAACGGTTAAAAGTACTCAATAAATGCACAAATTGGTTCTACCATTGGTAATAAGTAATGAGATCTGGAACTGTCTAGTTTTTATAACGTATACATTTGTTTTATAAAAATTATATTCACTGAATAAAAGCCAAAAATTGAGAAGGTGACTATAAATACATATGAATTCTTTGAAATATATTTAAGAAAGGTTAATCTGAAAGCCTAGGAATTTAGAAAAACGAGTAATGTAGCAAAATTATTTGCCAAATTATGTTGATACAAATATTTTAATTAAATTTAGACGTAAAAATAGATACTTGGCGATTAAAAACACTCAATAGACACTCAGGAATAGCTATTTACTTTTAGAAAATATGAATTCATAACGTATACTTAATTTTTGATTTTATTGAAGTCCGTTTGCCTCGAAAAAGTAACAAAGTCCATTCTAGTCATAGTTAATTAAGCTATTCGTTTGCGATCGGGTAATAAAATTAAAATAATTTTATAACGGAAAACTTCCTAAATACGCAATGTCTACTTTCATGCTCCATAATACGAACAAAGAAAAAAGTACCATCAATTTAAGTATGTTCTAATATGTATTCATTTATGAATACATTAACGTAAAAACATGACTCGGAATAACTTGGAAATAAACTATAACTTCTAGAGATTGATTTTACTATTTAAAAATAGCTTTAGCTCGTACTTCACTACATCAAAAATTGTCGATCACTTTTGAACGTAAGGAAATATCTTGAAACTACATTTATGTAGTTTCAAGATAGGTATATTTTCTATATGTAGGTATATTTTCTATATTTGTTAAACACTAAATGTTTGTAAAAAGATCACAGTCACAAAATTACAAATTTCTTATAAGCAAAAAACAATTGCATGCCATGTAACGCAAGTGTCATAATAAGTGAGTTGATATAAACGAGAGAACGAGTCAGAATCTGTAAATAGTACTCCAGGAGTCGCTACTCGCGGTGTGCAAATATGTCCGCTACACTGTAAAATAAGCATATTGTGTATTTCTACATTTTGATATTTGCTCCACACGTATAACTTGTTTCATGGTTTAATATTAAATGTACAGTTGCAATATGATCATTATTTTTATAAAACAGCTTCAAAAGAAGTGAGCGTTTCACCAAAATTATCACATAACAAATAAAAAGAATATTTTATAATTCTGTCAACTTATATTCTCTAAACATAGCTTCAACACATGTCCTTATGCGAAATAAACTTTTCTTTCTTCTTAATGCCAAAACTCAATTGTACTGTATACTACACTCAATTACACATGAAACATAGCTTTAACACGAATTATCACATAAATTAAACGTTTTTCTTTGTTTTCAGTATTAACACTTTTATGATGAAAACGTGCATTGCCATTATATTGCTTTGTCTGAAAGTTCATTTAACATCTAAAGATTTTTCGCTAAAACTTTAAATAGTGATAAATTTAGCGTTTGAAACATTTAAAATAAACTTTATGTATAAATTTTTACAATTCTAATTCGATAATTTTGTGAATATTTCAGGTATTGGTGTGGACGATGCATTTATATTGATAGCAGCGTGGAGAAGAACTGACGTTAACGCTTCTGTACATGACAGAATGAAAAACGCTTATGCCGAAGCTGCAGTGTCCATCACGATTACATCTCTGACAAATTTTCTTGCATTCTGCGTTGGATTTGTAACACCATACAAATGTATCCAAATAATGTGTACATATTCAGTTCTAGCAATAGTCTTTGACTATATTTATCAGTTATTGTTTTTCGGAGGACTCATGGCTCTCGATGGATATAGAGAGAAGAATAAGCTGCATTCCGTTTTTTGCTGGCCGATCAATTGCGTTCATCTAAAACTTGAAGACCGACTACAAGTGATATCAAAACAGAATAACAAAGAAAATGTTTTCATGGTATTCTTCAGTAATGTTTTAGGCGAAATTCTTGGAAAATCAATTAGCAAACTTATTGTGATCATCTTGTTTATAATTTATGTAGGTGTTGCAGTATACTGTATGAAATTCATTCGAGAAGGAGATGATTTTAGTAAACTCTATCCTTACTCTTCTTACGCAACTGAATATCTAAGCCTAGAATATAAATATTTTTTTAATTATAGTCATCAAGTGCAAATAGTCATTAACCAGACATTAGACTATTCCAATGTCACTGTTCAAGATGGCATAGAAGATCTCCTGCAAAGTTTCGAGTCTGCTTCATTTATATCGGATTCGTCGACCACAGAAAGTTGGCTGAGAGAATTTCTGGCATTTACTAAATCTCCAGTCGCGAAGTTTTCGCTTTCTGGTTACAATCTGAGTGATTCCGAAGACTTTTTGAATGCATTTCAAGATATTTTCTTAAAAGTTAAAGTGGCAAATAGGTTTATAAATGATGTTGTCTTTAACGAAGAAGGTGATAAAATTATTGCATCCAGATTTCTCGTTTCGAGTTTTGATGAGGAATCTCGAATTGATGAAAAGTTTTTCTTTGAAAATGTAAGAAAAATTGCCTCCAACAGCAAATTTGAAATTATTGCATACAATTTTAGATTTATCTATTATGAATTGTATATTAATATTCTTTCAAACTGTATAAAAGCTGTCTGTTCTGCGGCCGCGGTAGTAATTGTAGTGTTTCTTTTATTCACTACGAACGTATTGTTTCTTTTGTCTGTTGCCATCACTATTGCGTCTGTTCAGATTGGATTGATTGGATACATATCTTTATGGAACGCAACTGTGAATACTACTACTTTATTAACGTTAGTGATGAGTACGGGATTTTGTGTAGATTATACAGTTCATATGGCTTTCGCATTTGTCAGTTGCGGAAAGAAAACACCGAACGAGAAAATCAAGAATTGTTTATATGCTGCTGGGTATCCAGTAACACAAGCTTGTATATCTACTTTATTGAGTGTTTCAGTGTTATCATTTGGTCCATCAGAATCGTTCGTTGTAGTTTTTAAAATTATAACATTAATGGTTATATTCGCTTCGTTTCATAGTCTTGTTATACTGCCAGTAATACTCAGTCTTTTGGATCTTATCCCTTCTTGTTTAAAAAATTTTACACAAAAGAGTGAATACACAGGAAATTAGCTAACTGAAATTGAAGGTTCAAATCATATGAATAGAAATACTTCATTTATTAAATAACGGTGATTACTTAAATTTGTGTAATTAATAACTTGAAAAATTTCAATATTAAATTTAAAAGACATTTCATGTTTTGATTTATTATGTCTATTGCATTGTATTGGGGTTCGGGGACCGTGATAAAATTATATTATACAAGTATAAGGTAGGGTCCTGCCACGTGGTTTTTTTATCGTACACACCTCCGGGTTAGACTAATAAAAAAAAAAAGACATTTAACGCTGGATGGTAAGCGCCACTCTGAACTCCAGGAATGAGCCTCTCAGGAAGGTAAATCAAAGATAAGTACTGTACAAATAAAAAAGTAAGTTTATCATAGTTAAACGAAACCTTAAAAAATCTGTTTTAGGAAGTTAGCCTACTTCTATCTATAAATGGTTTGGGGTGTCCTAGCAGGAGGCGTGTCCGAATTGAGCGAAAAAACGTACCAAAGAAAGCGTTGTTTTTTCTTTTTTCTTCGCTGTCTCTCTCTGTTCTCTTCACTTTTTCGTGTTCTTTTTTCTTTACTCGGCCCTTCACTCTGTTTTTCACTAGATCCGCCATACAATCACTTTCCCTGTCTCTCTCTGGATTGCTCCGTCCTCTAAGTCCAAATCTCTGTCCGTTGCTAAATTGTTAATTGGTCGACTCCTATCCGGATAGTCAGTTCAGTTCGTCAGTCAGTCCGTCAGTTTTTCGATTTAGTCATTTCTTTGGTTTATTCATCGTTTTTGACCAATGATGCTTTTATTCCGAAAGGAGTTGAAGTAATCTGTAAAAAGCGTGATTAGTAATTTAGCAGTCCTCCCTCTCTCTTCTCAAAGANTAAAAATAATCCGCATAAAAAGAGACCTTACAGTATTGTGTGATGTTTTGAACATGCCGTAAACATTACGGTAAAACGTTAGTATCAAAAATTCTTACTATAACCATTTCGAGCAGCAAACAATTTAATTTTCGGCGATACATTTATACAGTACAGGGATCGTAGCCATACCGGAGCAATTGCTCATTTTAATGATCAAAACCTCAATGCGATAAATTGTGTATTTAACCCGTCACTGTACGGCTTTGCGATGATTCTCTTACACAGCCTGTTAATAACTTTGCAAGCTACCAAGTTTACAACATACTTTCGAAAAACACACTTCGTCAGTGTCTCGGCCACAGAAGAAATAAGATGTATTCAGATTGATAGAACTTGGTCGTCAAGCGATTGAAAAAGTATAGTAATTAATTTCTTACCAGTGAATATTTGCTATCCAAATTCTTGTATATACCATCCGATATGCAGGTACAGTACTTGCATGCCATATTATTAAAAGTAACGCGAAAATCATATTGTCACTTTATGCATTTCATGAAGTAAGAATATGGTCGGTCTCAGAGCTATACAGATGTAATAGATGTAAGTATTTGAAATGTCTTAGTAGTAACAACTGTTAAAAGTACTCAATAAATGTACAAATTGGTTCGCCATTTGTAATAAGTAATGAGATCTGGAACTGTCTAGTTTTTATAACTTATACATTTGTTTTATAAAAATTATATTCACTGAAGAAAAGCCAAAAATTGAGAAGGTGACTCTAAATACATATGAATTCTTTGAAATATATGTAAGAAAGGTTAATTTCAAAGCCTAGGAATTTAGAAAAACGAGTAACGTAGCAAAATCATTTGCCAAATTATGTTGATACAAATATTTTAATTAAATTTAGACGTAAAAATAGATACTTGGCGATTAAAAACACTCAATAGACACTCAGGAATAGCTATTTACTTTTAGAAAATATGAATTCATAACGTATACTTAATTTTTGATTTTATTGAAGTCCGTTTGCCTCGAAAAAGTAACAAAGTCCATTCTAGTCATAGTTAATTAAGCTATTCGTTTGCGATCGAGTAATAAAATGTAAATAATATTGTTACGATAAACTTGCCAAATATGCCACGTCTACTTTCATGCTCCATAATACTAACAAAGGAAAAAGGTGCAATCAATTTAAGTATAATTGAACAGTCGACCCCCTATAAGACGGGTTCCTATAGTTTGGATTCCTATATCACGGCGAAAAAATTGCGACGGTATTCGTGAAAACATGCTAAAAAATACTCCTAAAATTCGGTAAAACGTCATCGCAGACTCGTGTCGCGACAGGATTACACGAACTGTTGAGTTTAAACAAGCAGCGGAGTTCATAAAAACGGGAACGTATCTACCGTGTTATAGGGGGGTCGACTGTATATTCATTTGAGAATAGATTGACGTAAAAAGATTAATGGGAATAACATGAAAATAAACTATGACTCCTAGAGATTGATTTTACTACTTAAAAATCGCTATTATTCACTACATCCAAAATTGTCGATCACTTTTAAATGTAAAGAGTGTATAAGACAAAAGGCATACAATATCATGAAACTTCATAGATGTAGGTATAATCTCCATATTTGTTAAACATTAAATGTTTGTAAAAAGATCACAGTCACAAAATTACAAATTTCTTATAAGCAAAAGATAATTGCACGCAGTATAACGCAAGTGTCATATTAAGCGAGCTAATGTAGACGAGGGAACAAGTCAGAATTTGTAAATAGTACACCAGAAGTCGCAACTCGTGGTGTACAAATATGTCAGCTCTATTGTAAAATAAGCATATTGTGTATTTCTATATTTTGATATTTGCTTCACATGTGTAATTGGTTACATTGTTTAATATTAAATGTACAGTTGCAATATGATCATTATTTTTATGAAACAGCTACAAAAAATGAGAGTTTCATCAAGACTATTAGGCCTATATAACAAATAAAAAAAATATTCAACAATTTTGACAACTTTTATACTCTGAACTTAGCTTGAACACGTGCTTATGCAAAGTAAACTATTATTTTCTTCTTAATGCAAAAACTCAATTGTACTGTACATCACACTCAACTATACATGGAACATAGCTTTAACACGAATTATCACATAAATTAAACGTTTTTCTTTGTTTTCAGTATTAACACTTTTATGATGAAAACGTGCATTGCCATTATATTGCTTTGTCTGAAAGTTCATTTAACATCTAAAGATTTTTCGCTAAAACTTTAAATAGTGATAAATTTATCGTTTGAAACTTATAAAATAGACTTTATGTATAAATTTTTACAATTCTAATTCGATAATTTTGTGAATATTTCAGGTATTGGTGTGGACGATGCATTTATATTGATAGCAGCGTGGAGAAGAACTGACGTTAACGCTTCTGTACATGACAGAATGAAAAACGCTTATGCCGAAGCTGCAGTGTCCATCACGATTACATCTCTGACAAATTTTCTTGCATTCTGCGTTGGATTTGTAACACCATACAAATGTATTCATATATTCAGCGCGTACGCCGCTTTAGCAATAGTCTTTGACTATATTTATCAGTTATTGTTTTTCGGAGGACTCATGGCTCTCGATGGATACAGAGAGAAGAATAAGCTGCATTCCGCTTTTTGCTGGCCGATCAATCGCACTCATCTAAAACTTGAAAAACCGACTACAAGTGATATCAAAACAGAATAACAAAGAAAATGTTTTCATGGTATTCTTTAGTAATGTTTTAGGCGAAATGCTCGGAAAATCAATTAGCAAACTTATTGTAATCATCTTGTTTATAATTTATGTAAGCTGTTGCAGTATACTGTATGAAATTCATTCGAGAAGGAGATGATTTTAGTAAACTCTATCCTTACTCTTCTTACGCAACTGAATATCTAAACCTAGAATACAAATATTTTTTTAATTATAGTCATCAAGTGCAAATAGTCATTAACCAGACATTAGACTATTCCAATGTCACTGTTCAAGATGGCATAGAAGATCTCCTGCAAAGTTTCGAGTCTGCTTCATTTATATCGGATTCGTCGACCACAGAAAGTTGGCTGAGAGAATTTCTGGCATTTACTAAATCTCCAGTCGCGAAGTTTTCGCTTTCTGGTTACAATCTGAATGATTCCGAAGACTTTCTGAAGGCATTTAAAAATATTTTCTTAAAAGTTAAAATGGCAAATAGGTTTATAAATGATGTTGTCTTTAACGAAGAAGGTGATAAAATCATTGCATCCAGATATCTCGTTTCGAGTTATGACGAAAAAACTCGAATCGATGAAAAGTTTTTCTTTGAAAATGTAAGAAAAATTGCCTCCAACAGCAAATTTGAAATTATTGCATACAATTTTAGATTTATCTATTATGAATTGTATATTAATATTCTTTCAAACTGTATAAAAGCTGTCTGTTCTGCGGCCGCGGTAGTAATTGTAGTGTTTCTTTTATTTACTCCGAACGTATTGTTTCTTTTGTCTGTTGCCGTCACTATTGCTTCTATTCAGATTGGATTGATTGGATACATATCTTTATGGAACTCAACTGTGAATACTACCACTTTATTAACGTTAGTGATGAGTACGGGATTTTGTGTAGATTATACGGTTCATATGGCTTTCGCATTTGTCAGTTGCAGAAAGAAAACCCCGAACGAGAAAATCAAGAATTGTTTATATGCTGCTGGGTATCCAGTAACACAAGCTTGTTTATCTACTTTATTGAGTGTTTCAGTGTTATCATTTGGTCCATCAGAATCGTTCGTTGTAGTTTTTAAAATTATAACATTAATGGTTATATTCGCTTCGTTTCATAGTCTTGTTATATTGCCAGTAATACTGAGTGTTTTGGATCTTATCCCTTCTTGTTTAAAAAGTTCTACACAAAAAATTGAATACACAGAAAATGAACAAAATAAAATTGAAGGTTTGAATCCTAACAATATTGAATAATGCTGATTATTTACATCTATGTTAAAAAAATATGAAAAATGTCAATTTCTAGTTTTAAGAATATTTGATACTTCTGTATGTCGTATGTACTGAATTGCGTCAGATTGAAAGACACCAGAGTACTGTTATTTGAGTACATATTTTTCATTGAATGTGAACAGAATAAATCAGAATATCTTTCACTTACGTGTGTAAACAAAATTTATGTTAAATTTGCCGACATTTTTAATTTGTATGTTGTGCAGTTTTACGTTTACGTTATTCTTAGATATAATTTTAGTTTTTTAAATTTCCTTAAGGTTTTTTAAATATTTCGTTAACGAGTTACGAATAATTATAGTGCTAAATTACAATTTTGCTCTATAGGCTATATAAATTCAATGATATATAATTCATAACATTTATTTCAGTTGTTAAAACAGCTTTAAATTTATGTGAAAACAAACATATGGTTAAGTTCGAAACATTTTTATTTTCTATCTACATATTTTTTGAAACTAATTAGTGAAAAGTTCAGGCCGAGACAACTCATAAAATACTTGCCGTATATTTCGAATGTTGTGTTTGCTTCCCCATTTTATCGCATTTTTTATACTATTATTTACTTTGATCCAAAACCATTTTCTTTCTCGTCTTGACATTAAAAAGTTTCTAATATTTAAATGAAGGAAAATACAATCTGATAGTGATAAATTTGAAAAACAAATTGGGGAATTTATAAGGTTAACATTTTTGATAATAAGCAATGTTAAGATTAGAAAACAATTCAAAAAAATTGTTTTCTAAACTAAATTTGTATAATAGTTGTTAATCTAATTCATGAATACATTCGTAAGCGTAAAATAAACGAAACTGATGTATAATTGACTTATCAATGTCAGTTTGTTCTGCAATGAAATAAAATAAAAATATATATACTGATGGAGCTCTAATATTATGTATTACTTATCCGGTATCGATAGAGTTATGTACTCGTTGACTACGATTAGAATATGCAAAAAAATTACATCATGTATTACTACATATTTGCTATAGGTATTATATACAACTTATTATGTATATAAATTTTAAACATAAAGAAGTATATGTATTTCTTGTAATAAAAAGACAGTAAAAGTTGGTAATGCATCGTTTTCATTTGTATCTTAATCGAATTGTGATCGCTCTTGTTAATTTTTAATTATTTTTACATTTCTTCACGTTGACATCGCCGTGATTTAGAATATAAACACATATCATATTGTCTTGTTTCTTTGAAATCAAAATAACAATAACAACTTTAAAACGTACGTTTTAATTTTATGTTTGTCCGCAGAATGAAAAATTGTGTACAATCTTTCGTTAATATCTATCTGAGCTGTTTTTTTCATATCATTTTCTATTCACTGACAAAGCACACAATTTGCAGCAATGTTTATCCGATTCACAATAAAAGTTGAAAGTACTTCAGAAATGTACCTATAGTAACGGTCAACAAGGTTTTACCTGAATCTAATTATACTAAGACTTTTCCCGAAATTTTTGCTCGCCACCGATCGACAGAATAAAACTACTGATTACTGGTATTTCAGCGCGAATTTTCTCCTGAACAACAAGCTAACTACGTGCAGTTTTCAGGTTTTCTTCGTATTTCCAATACCTGAATACAACCAGATGAACATAAGTTTTCGTGGGATGCACTCTGTAGTAAATCGCTCTCGTATGAAGTTGGTTTTCCACCATAAAAACCCAAACCAAATTTCGTGAATTTGTCATAAGCAGTGTATCCAAGAGTCTTCATTCATTATTATGTCGCCTGTATTTCAACTTTGACAGAATTAGTTGAAGAAAACTTATTACAATTGATGCCAGATGTCACTGTTACATTGACATCCAGTAGTTTTCATTTTTGATTATACAAATTTAATTTTACGATTTTCGAATACGGTGAAAACGATTGGCTTTTAAAAATTTATACACCAACATAAACAACATATTAAACTTTAAACCTTTAAACTTTTGATTACATCTTATCTGAAGACGTGTATGACGTTTAACTTAAGACGTTCAGTGAACTGAACAGATTGAAAGTAGAACAAATTTATCTGAATTTATGGTTTAATATTAAAACGAAAAACGTAAGTAAATATATTTAATTCAATTTTATTTATTTTATTACATTTCATTAACTAAAATCAATTTTTTTATTGATGCTTACTTTGTTAACAACAGAAATTACAATTTGATTTGAATTTCATTTATATGTGTATTATGTATATATATACATGAAATAACGATAATTTAGTTAGTATCATCTTTTTTGAAATCATAAATCACAATAATGCACTAGAGAATAATGCAGTCTACATTTGGTTATCTGATTATTAATATTTAACAAAATCTTTAAAAAAAGCTTCTTAAATACACATATTTTCAAACTAATAACGTGTTTTAATACAATATATTTATATCGTCTTTATCAAGCATCAACGTTTAATAACCATTGTAAGTCGTTACGTCACTATTTATTTTATAGTATTATTAATTTCAGGAAAGAATTTTTTTTTTATATAGAGATCGATTTCATGAAAAATTTTTATTACTTATTTTACGATTTTAGAATGAAAGTGGAGCATAAAAATATAAGAAGGATTGTCTCTATAGCATTATCTCGAATTGGATATCATATAGGATACTATCCTCAAATATACGTTGCAGCTTTCTTTATAATGTCACTCGTTTTAGGAACCGGACTGTTAAATATTCCACTACAGAAGGATGTAGAATATCTTTATATTCCATCCAATGCAAGAAGCAGGATTGACAGAGCAGCTATTGAATCGATTTTTCCAGTTAACATGTCACAATGTGATTACAGAAGAATATCAAGATTAGATGCAGCCGCAGTAGTAATTGTTACTCCTAAAAACGGAACATCTGTATTGAAGGAATCAATAATTGAAGAAGTCATAAAACTAGACGAAATTATAAGAAACGTCACTATCATTTGGAATAACACATTCCTACGTTACTCGGATTTGTGTTGTAAGACGGAGAGAAATAAATGCCATGAAAATTTTGCTTTGACTCTGCAAGGAAAAACAAATAATATCAAGAAAGCCATACATAACATCAAGTAAGTTTTTATATTTCTTATGGAATTTTGCAATTTTAAACTGTCTAAAATGAACACTGTATTCGTTCTAAAATACTAATAGCCCGGGATACTCCCTAAAGGGCGTTCTAGGCATTTCGTAACAGATGACACATATACAAACAGTGGGATCAATGACTTGTATATAGAATGGTTGATGATAATCGGTTTGTTTCCTGTATAAATAATTTGCTTTGTAGAAATTTCTTAATATTGCGTTCACGTAATTCAAGTGACCTACAGCAATTTTTACGTAATGGTGAATACAGTTATTAATGCACTAACGTCAAAGTATATATATTAGATTTGTATCTATAGTTGAGTTACTACGTTTAAGACTTAATATCTTCTTCATTATACTCGTATTTATTAGCATAGCGAAAATTTGTATGTTGATTTCTGGCTGTAAATTTCGAGTGACAAACTATTGGCCAGGGATGAATTCATGTTCATGGTTTTACCTCTATCACTCGTGGGTTCATATATCGTGGAGTGTGGAAAACTATATTAGAAAAACAGTATTCCGTATTAAAAAATACAAAAATCGTATAATAAACGTTATTAATATTGAAGTAAATACATATACTGTATACATTTTTTTATTTAATTTATTATTAAGATATAATTTTCTAACCAACGTTAAATTTCATTATTAATGCAAAGTTTCTTTTCTCGCCTTTTGATTTCTGTCGTTAACACGTGGTCCTTCCTTCTTCACTTTCTCGAAACTTCTGTTGCAGTGTTGCCAGATCTTGAAGCTTCTGTTCTGTTGTTGCCAGATGTTTTTTTATTTTATAATCCACACTTTCACATTAATATATTCTTGTTATATTACATATCGTCTGTACTAGATATTCCATTTATGCCCTCAGCTAATATTTACTCTATTTATATAACAATAAATAACTTTTTTTTACATTCAACCCTACAGTAGAACAAACACATACAAAAACATGAGTGTTTTAGTGTAATGAGAGTAACTCTAAAAATCATTGCATCGATAACATTGCATGTCTTACTTGAATGACTTACGTCTTGATTATATTTATCAAAGAATAATTTTTACAGTCAATTAACTTCAATATTTTATGATTTTGAATATAAGACAAGAATTCTCGTATTCAAAACTGGGCATTCGATCCTTAATTAATATCGTACAGAACTATATGCAACTATGTACTAATATCTACGTATTACGGTAAGTCTTATCAGTAAGAAAATAATCTAAATATCAAAGAACATGTATATTTATAACTTTAAATTATATTTTCATTGAACATCAGAGTTATTATACATTTTTCATTTAATATTTTAAAAACAATTTTACAAATTTATTACAGATATCCGGGTGACATCTCCCAGAACACATTAATATTGTCTGCTTTTGAATTCGGAGGAGTAACTTTAAATGAGAAAAACATGATTCGAGATTCTTTTGCAATTAGATTTGTTTATGGATTGGACCATACCACGGAAGAGAAAAAACAAATGGCACTGAAATGGGAACAGATGTGCTTACAAACATTATCAGATACTCATTTGAACAATATTAAAATATCTAAAATGTTCAGTCATTCTGTTAATAATGAAATTAACCGGATTGGTGAAAGTGGATTGCCTCTTATTTTGATTATTGCTCCAATTATGCTGGTATTTTCAGCAGTCTCTTGCTTGTCAAAGGATTCACTCAGTAGCAAACCGTGGTTGGGTATTGCCGGTTGCGTATCGCCATTCTTAGCAACTGTCGCAGCATTTGGTCTACTGTGTTACTGCAGAATAGATTACGCATCAATTAATGTAATAATCTTCTTTCTGATTTCAGGCATGTGTTAATGAAATTCGATATAAATAATGAATATCAGATATTTAAAAAAATTATTCTTATATTGCAAAGTTTTTTTCCTGATAACTTTACATATTGAGATGATCGTATTTAAATTATTTCTATTCAACGCTACCTATAGAAATATTCAGCTGCCAAAAGAACAAAACCCTGTGTTGTGTGATGTTTTCAACATGCCGTAAACAATACGGTAATACGTTAGTATCAAAAATTCTCACTATAACGTTTTCGAGCAGCAAACAATTTAAATTTCTGCGATACATTCACACAGTACAGAAATCGTAGCCATGCTGGAGCAATTGCTCATTTTAATGATCAAAACCTCAATGCGATAAATAGTGTATTTAACCTGTCACTGTACTGCTTTGTAATGATTCTCTTACACAGCCTGTTAATAACTTTGCAAGCTACCAAGTTTACAACATACTTTTAAAAAACACACTTCATCAGTGTCTCGGACACGAAGAAATAAGATGTATTCAGATTGATAGAACTTGGTCGTCAAGCGATTGAAAAAGTATAGTAATTAATTTCTTACCAGTGAATATTTGCTATCCAAATTCTTGTATATACCATCCGATATGCAGGTACAGTACTTGCATGCCATATCTTTAAAAGTAACGGGAAAATCATATTGTCACTTTATGCATTTCATGAAGTAAGAATATGGTCGGTCTTAGAGCTATACAGATGTAACAGATGTAAACATTTGAAATGTCTTAGTAGTAACAACGGTTAAAAGTACTCAATAAATGCACAAATTGGTTCTACCATTGGTAATAAGTAATGAGATCTGGAACTGTCTAGTTTTTATAACGTATACATTTGTTTTATAAAAATTATATTCACTGAATAAAAGCCAAAAATTGAGAAGGTGACTATAAATACATATGAATTCTTTGAAATATATTTAAGAAAGGTTAATCTGAAAGCCTAGGAATTTAGAAAAACGAGTAACGTAGCAAAATTATTTGCCAAATTATGTTGATACAAATATTTTAATTAAATTTAGACGTAAAAATAGATACTTGGCGATTAAAAACACTCAATAGACACTCAGGAATAGCTATTTACTTTTAGAAAATATGAATTCATAACGTATACTTAATTTTTGATTTTATTGAAGTCCGTTTGCCTCGAAAAAGTAACAAAGTCCATTCTAGTCATAGTTAATTAAGCTATTCGTTTGCGATCGGGTAATAAAATTAAAATAATTTTATAACGGAAAACTTCCTAAATACGCAATGTCTACTTTCATGCTCCATAATACGAACAAAGAAAAAAGTACCATCAATTTAAGTATGTTCTAATATGTATTCATTTATGAATACATTAACGTAAAAACATGACTCGGAATAACTTGGAAATAAACTATAACTTCTAGAGATTGATTTTACTATTTAAAAATAGCTTTAGCTCGTACTTCACTACATCAAAAATTGTCGATCACTTTTGAACGTAAGGAAATATCTTGAAACTACATTTATGTAGTTTCAAGATAGGTATATTTTCTATATGTAGGTATATTTTCTATATTTGTTAAACACTAAATGTTTGTAAAAAGATCACAGTCACAAAATTACAAATTTCTTATAAGCAAAAAACAATTGCATGCCATGTAACGCAAGTGTCATAATAAGTGAGTTGATATAAACGAGAGAACGAGTCAGAATCTGTAAATAGTACTCCAGGAGTCGCTACTCGCGGTGTGCAAATATGTCCGCTACACTGTAAAATAAGCATATTGTGTATTTCTACATTTTGATATTTGCTCCACACGTGTAACTTGTTTCATGGTTTAATATTAAATGTACAGTTGCAATATGATCATTATTTTTATAAAACAGCTTCAAAAGAAGTGAGCGTTTCACCAAAATTATCACATAACAAATAAAAAGAATATTTTATAATTCTGTCAACTTATATTCTCTAAACATAGCTTCAACACATGTCCTTATGCGAAATAAACTTTTCTTTCTTCTTAATGCCAAAACTCAATTGTACTGTATACTACACTCAATTACACATGAAACATAGCTTTAACACGAATTATCACATAAATTAAACGTTTTTCTTTGTTTTCAGTATTAACACTTTTATGATGAAAACGTGCATTGCCATTATATTGCTTTGTCTGAAAGTTCATTTAACATCTAAAGATTTTTCGCTAAAACTTTAAATAGTGATAAATTTATCGTTTGAAACTTATAAAATAGACTTTATGTAAAAATATTTAGAATTTTAATTTAATAATTTTGTGAATATTTCAGGTATTGGTGTGGACGATGCATTTATATTGATAGCAGCGTGGAGAAGAACTGACGTTAACGCTTCTGTACCCGACAGAATGAAAGACGCTTATGCCGAAGCTGCAGTGTCTATCACGATTACCTCTCTGACCAACTTTCTTGCATTCTGCGTTGGATTTGTAACACCATACAAATGTATCCAAATAATGTGTACATATTCAGTTCTAGCAATAGTCTTTGACTATATTTATCAGTTATTGTTTTTCGGAGGACTAATGGCTCTCGATGGATACAGAGAGAAGAATAAGCTGCATTCCGCTTTTTGCTGGCCGATCAATCGCACTCATCTAAAACTTAAAAACCGACTACAAGTGATATCAAAACAGAATAACAAAGAAAATGTTTTCATGGTATTCTTCAGTAATGTTTTAGGCGAAATTCTTGGAAAATCAATTAGCAAACTTATTGTAATCATCTTGTTTATAATTTATGTAGCTGTTGCAGTATACTGTATGAAATTCATTCGAGAAGGAGATGATTTTAGTAAACTCTATCCTTACTCTTCTTACGCAACTGAATATCTAAGCCTAGAATATAAATATTTTTTTAATTATAGTCATCAAGTGCAAATAGTCATTAACCAGACATTAGACTATTCCAATGTCACTGTTCAAGATGGCATAGAAGATCTCCTGCAAAGTTTCGAGTCTGCTTCATTTATATCGGATTCGTCGACCACAGAAAGTTGGCTGAGAGAATTTCTGGCATTTACTAAATCTCCAGTCGCGAAGTTTTCGCTTTCTGGTTACAATCTGAATGATTCCGAAGACTTTTTGAATGCATTTCAAGATATTTTCTTAAAAGTTAAAGTGGCAAACAGGTTTAAAAATGATGTTGTCTTCAACGAAGAAGGTGATAAAATTACTGCATCCAGATTTCTCGTTTCAAGTTTGGATGAGGAATCTCGAATTGACGAAAAATATTTCTTTGAAAATGTAAGAAAAATTGCCTCCAACAGCAAATTTGAAATTATTGCATACAATTTTAGATTTATCTATTATGAATTGTATATTAATATTCTTTCAAACTGTATAAAAGCTGTCTGTTCTGCGGCCGCGGTAGTAATTGTAGTGTTTCTTTTATTCACTACGAACGTATTGTTTCTTTTGTCTGTTGCCATCACTATTGCGTCTGTTCAGATTGGATTGATTGGATACATATCTTTATGGAACGCAACTGTGAATACTACTACTTTATTAACGTTAGTGATGAGTACGGGATTTTGTGTAGATTATACAGTTCATATGGCTTTCGCATTTGTCAGTTGCGGAAAGAAAACACCGAACGAGAAAATCAAGAATTGTTTATATGCTGCTGGGTATCCAGTAACACAAGCTTGTATATCTACTTTATTGAGTGTTTCAGTGTTATCATTTGGTCCATCAGAATCGTTCGTTGTAGTTTTTAAAATTATAACATTAATGGTTATATTCGCTTCGTTTCATAGTCTTGTTATACTGCCAGTAATACTCAGTCTTTTGGATCTTATCCCTTCTTGTTTAAAAAATTTTACACAAAAGAGTGAATACACAGGAAATTAGCTAACTGAAATTGAAGGTTCAAATCATATGAATAGAAATACTTCATTTATTAAATAACGGTGATTACTTAAATTCGTGTAATTAATAACTTGAAAAATTTCAATATTAAATTTAAAAGACATTTCATGTTTTGATTTATTATGTCTATTGCATTGTATTGGGGTTCGGGGACCGTGATAAAATTATATTATACAAGTATAAGGTAGGGTCCTGCCACGTGGTTTTTTTATCGTACACACCTCCGGGTTAGACTAATAAAAAAAAGACATTTAACGCTGGATGGTAAGCGCCACTCTGAACTCCAGGAATGAGCCTCTCAGGAAGGTAAATCAAAGATAAGTACTGTACAAATAAAAAAGTAAGTTTATCATAGTTAAACGAAACCTTAAAAAATCTGTTTTAGGAAGTTAGCCTACTTCTATCTATAAATGGTTTGGGGTGTCCTAGCAGGAGGCGTGTCCGAATTGAGCGAAAAAACGTACCAAAGAAAGCGTTGTTTTTTCTTTTTTCTTCGCTGTCTCTCTCTGTTCTCTTCACTTTTTCGTGTTCTTTTTTCTTTACTCGGCCCTTCACTCTGTTTTTCACTAGATCCGCCATACAATCACTTTCCCTGTCTCTCTCTGGATTGCTCCGTCCTCTAAGTCCAAATCTCTGTCCGTTGCTAAATTGTTAATTGGTCGACTCCTATCCGGATAGTCAGTTCAGTTCGTCAGTCAGTCCGTCAGTTTTTCGATTTAGTCATTTCTTTGGTTTATTCATCGTTTTTGACCAATGATGCTTTTATTCCGAAAGGAGTTGAAGTAATCTGTAAAAAGCGTGATTAGTAATTTAGCAGTCCTCCCTCTCTCTTCTCAAAGAAGAATGATGCGCATCCATGTCATTGGTCATCAAACACCATCGAAAAAGGGATAAACGACGGTCATAACCTTCGTCTTTTCCTTCGCATGTTGTGAGATTTGTAACAATTAATGGATAATTCTTATGTTCCAATTTGTTTTTCCAAATTATTTTAAATCGATATTATTAAAAATGAGGAAAAAATTCATTAAATCAGAAAAATAGGCAAAATGCCTTTACAACGTTGGTAGATATACAAACAATCTCGGTGTAGCATTTATATACAACACCGCGATGTGGGTGCAATGGGCGTCCTCTCTTGTAGTTAATAATTGCTTTCTACACAACCAGACTTCAACTGAATAATGAGAATGTATTATCAACTAAAAGATTAAAATAAAGTGATTAAAATTATAGAGATAACGTAAATAACAATTTACGAATATATATGAATTTTTATATATACAATAACAGCAAAATTTGAGGAGAAAAATGGTGAGCCTCACAAGCTTACGTACAAATCCGCATTATTCTACACTCGTGTATGTGGCCAACAATATTGCATTCGATCTTAAGTTGTAACGTTGTTTCGCTGGAAACATATATTAATATTAGTAATGTTTAACTTATAGGAATAAATATAAGGATTCGTTTGGAACATTCAGCTCTTTTGAATAATTCGGCTGCAATTTGAAAAAAATTATAGATGTACAAATTCCCATTGTCGTCCGTCTGCCACTCTTTCCTTAATATCGAGAACGGAGTGAGATAGATGAAAGACGAGACCAGATGTGGAAATATTAGAGGAAGATTGCCCCGATCAACTGTACAGAAATTTGTGGTCGTCGAAACCAGAAATCGTGTTATTTTAATTCAAAAATTTTCCCTGAAAGGCCGGTATCTGCTAAATGAAACATAACTGTTTTATTTAGCAGATTAAATTCTCAATTCAATAGAATAGAACAATTCAATAAAATATATGTAATATTTAATTGTTTATCGTAAATCATACACGTGTTCTGTCTTACAAAACAACAATTTTATAGAAAATTAAATAGCATTTTAGTTTCAAATTGTGTAAATTGATTTTTCATGACAAGTAAAAAAAAAGTAATAGTATCATGTATTGAAGTTAGAAACATTTTTTGACATTTTTTCATATTACTATTGTATAGATTGAACTTAATGTATCATAATATTTATATACTAAATGTATTTTTATAAATTGGAACTATTTTAAAATAGGAAAGAACTAACACAACAATTAAGTGATAGGTCAAATTCATTGCGCCTTACAAGAGAATGTTTTATGGAAATCAATACTCTATTTAATTAAGTATTAGACAGGTAAACAGACCCGAGAAACATTCACGAACGAAAATCTATTATTAAAGAGGAAGTACCAGTGTTTAAGTATGTTATCCATACAACTATATGCAATCTTTTACTTTAATTAACGAAATCATTTTAATGTTTATAAAGCAATGAACTTATTTCCTACTTTTATTGTTCAAATAATTTTATTTAGTTTACTAATTAACCTGCCAATTATTTGCTGACAAACTGCATTTTACATTTTATATAACAGTATAACGAATCAACTGTATTCGAACAGTACAGTCGATCCCCCTATAAGATATAGATACGTTCCATTCTTTAGGAATCCGATTTCTTACGAATCCTTACAATCACAACCCGACACGTGTCAAGTTTACGGACTACGGCTGTTTGAAAGATTTTCTTCCATAAAATTAATCGATTCTAGAGTAATCCGACTCAACATTTCCAAAATACGTATATTTTTTTTGGGAATAATCCGTATAAACTACGCTATAAACAAAAAATTGTAGGATTACTTACCGAGTGTCACCATTCGACATCGCCATTGCTCAACATTGTTTTCGTCGCGGAACAGCTCAGCAAAGAGCGGCCGATTTCTAACAACTTATTTTTCTGTGAAAACTTCGTAGAACTTCGGAGACATCATTAATATAAATAATTTTAATCGCCGTTGAATAAGAAATGTTTCTTTCACAAGAAATGTATAAAATTACAGTACTGTATTAGACTTACGGTACCTAATTTACATACTGACAGACGATAGTTAGCGTAAAAATCTCCGTAGCGTGGCGCCACGCTAGACGGCGGAAATTATATATTTAATTATAACAAAGTTACAATAAGTTAATATATAATTATATATACAGTACCTAATTTATATATAATTAATATATAATTATATGTACAGTACCTAATTTATATATACTTTATATAATACTGTCCAGACGATAGAAATCTTTCCGTAGTTGGCGCTACGGACGGCGGGAAAGTAGTTCGGCTGCCCGATGACGTTTGAGGTAATTATAGGGGGTTTTTTACTGTTTTTTACGGATACCGGTCACAATTTCTTCGTAGTTTTATAGGAATCGTAATTATAGGGACCGTAATTATAGGCGATCGACTGTACAACGAATTTAATCTAATTTAACCAATAGGCTGTCTTAGATTTTAATATACGGTAACGTAGGCGATCAAATAAATGCTGTGTAGTTTAATGTTCTGACTACTAGAAAAGAAAGACGTAAGATGAAATACAATAGATTTTTCACGACTCATTTGCAAAACAGTAAATGTAAAACGAATTTTAAATTTCTATAGTTTTTACATTTACTACAAGATCATATCATCACTTATTTGCATAAAAAGTATACGATAGCATTTTCATTCTGACTTATTTCTAAAATTGAAAAAATACACCTTTTTATACAAGATGAATACATATAAAAAAGACATCGGCCGTACGCAAGGTGTTTAGCCTCCAGAAAAGAGAGTAAGGGAAATTGAAGGGTAAGAAGGAGGGAGAGGAAATAGATATTAGAGAAAGATAAAATTCTTATGAACGGCATACATATGTACTATTTTACAGATAGACAGACAGAGCGAAAAACAAACGAACACAACGACAAACTAGACGAGACAAACGGATCCACAGACAGAAACGAGCAAGACTCCAAAATTCTTATCTTTATTTATTTATATATTTATTTTTAAACGTTAACTTATTCACCAGCTAAACTAACCTACCATAACCTTGGACAAACCTAACCAGAGCATCAAATCTAACAAACCCTTATCCAGTTTTACCTAACCTATCATAACCTAACCGAAATCCAAGCTGAGTCCCTAATATAACCTACAACTAGGACTAAACGAATTTAGACTAGAAAAGAGAGCAGAAAATAAGAATTAAAATACAAAGATGACAGGCAGCTATATACCGACAGTTGAAACAAAGCAAGGCAATGCTAATTGCCATCCGTTTCCCGGAGTGAGTGCTTTGAAGAGTCCCACTAAGGGATATGAATGCCAGTAGATGATGGAACATTGTACGCGTGTGAATGAGTTGGTGCGGGTTGCAAGGCAAAGCAAGGCTCTCATTAAACTATTCCTAATGTGATTGTACTATTGCAGTAAAAAAATATGTGAAGCGGTGTTTGGTTTTCCTGAATAAAACAATCGTATTGTGGATTGTCCCCAAGGTTAAATCTATGCAAATATTGGTTAAAGTTGCCGTGTCCTGTAAGTAGCTGAGTGAGGATGTAACTAGAATAAAAATGGCGAAGAATCGCAGTAGTCTCAACACCTTGGGAATAAAAGTGTAGGTGAGCCTACCAGTAGTGTCATGGTCCCAGCTGTCTTGCCAGAGAATGAAGATTTGCTCTTTGACATGGTTGGTACGAGACAGGAATGTAACTGAAAGTACTAGTGACTGAAGACTTTGCAGCTTGTTCGGCAAGATGGTCAGCGGTCTCGTTGCCGAGAACCCGCGCATGACCCGGGATCCATTTGAAATCTATTCTAATGTTGTTTTCTAAGAGTCTGAGAATGTGGTGTATGAGATGTACGAGTTTTAAGCGGCTATCAAACTTCGCAATCCTGTGTAAAGCTACTCTATTGTCAGAATAAATGCGATAGTGTAAGTAGTGTCTGTTGACCTTCCTACGCCTAATGTGAATTAAGCTGATATAAATAGCTAAAGTTTCCGCCTGTGAACAGTGTTTACTTAGACGGAAGCAAGCGTTGTGATGCTCGCGGCCTAAGTCGGAGTAAACTACAAAAGTGGCACCCACATCCTCACCCATCTTGGAACCGTCGGTGTAAATCCTAAACATGGAATGATCATCTGGTTCTTCGAAGTAAACCTCAGGGGCAAGCTGATGGGAGGGGTGGTAATCATAAGTCGAAAGGGTAATTTTGTCGATGCTGAATTTTTCCATATTATCGATCAAGGTCAAACTGCGGAGAATCTTACCTACTCTAATCATTTTGTCAACAATTTGTAATCTCGCCATGATAAGGTGACGAGATTTTCCTGACAAATAATGCGTTTTATTTCTAAGTCGATACAAGATGAATACAGTATATTCTTTTCAACGTTTAATAAACGTTTTATAAAGTTATCAAAACTTTACAATCACAAACAAAATGTTGTCTCAATATGGACACGGTGTGACCGCTGTGCTTCATATAATTTTTATCTAATTACTTGCGTCAGAAAACCATTTGGAATTGATTTTGTTCAAAATTGTGAGTGCGTAGTAATACTGAGAAATCAACAAAACATCAACTACATAGATTATATGATATAGATTATATTACACCTGCCATATAGATTTTAGATTAGAACTTTATGAAAGTCTAGTAGATGTAAATCTGTGATGTTCAGTATTTTATTTAATTTTACTCTTATTTTACGGAAACATCATATGCCAAAGAGGATTTAACATAGGAGAAGAATGTGCGACGCATTCAGCTTTGCTATTATTTATTAGAAATTTATACATAGCGTTTCAACATTCAATACTAAAAAGAAACCAGGTTAAAATACATCTTATGAAAAGCACATACAAAGAAGAATCGAAATTGGCTAAGAAAGTTGAATTGCCTTTGTTATGGTTCTTTGTTTTCAGATTCTTTGTCGTTCTGATAATCTTAAATGTGTCTTCAATGGTGATAAGACAAGTATCATCATACAATGAGCATAAGACAAGTGATTTAGAAGCGTGGTACTGTACTATGTGTTTTTCTGTAATTATCATTTATTTTGTTGGGTGTATCTTTTCAATGCTTCTAATTTTCATTCTTGCTTGTTTTATCTTAGTCAAAAGACTGTCCAGTTTAATGAAGGAATTAAATCAAATGCGACCGGATTCTAAGTATTTGACAAAATAATTACAGGATTTTTGTAAAAATCGTACCGAAATATGGAAGTTTTGTGAAATGATAATTGAAAAATAGAAAGTTTTAATCGCTTTGATTTACACTGATTTTCTTTATGAAACTTTTTTTTTTGTTTCATGGCTATATTGTATGATATAGAATTAAGTATTCGAGTGTTTATTACGTTTGTTGCCGTACTTTCTCTTACTACATTTTAAATTCTTGGGCATTGTCATTCTTCACGTCTTCAGTACATAATTAGTTTACATTAATAATATATTCTAATCTTTTCTGTTTATAAAATTACTGTTTATAATGATTTTCAACAATATTTATTTCCTTAATAATAAATACTTGAATTCAGTTTTTATATTTATTATCAAAATTAACTTAGATAATATTTATTGTTAGGTTAGTGTAATTTTAATAACTTTAAGATAACAATTATAGAAAAATCAGTGTAGACAATATTTTATCAGAATATTGATGTAAATTTTATTTTCTAGCTGTATAACAACTTTATTTCCATTCAAAGATTTTTTCCTCCAAATCTTTCAGTTGAATTTAAATTCAAGGTACATACCGTGGTTATATATTTCAATTTTTAAAGTATTTTTACATTAATTGTATAGAATAAATTATAAATTTAATGAAACTTATTGTATTTATTATGCTTACTAAATATTATTCTATTTATAATTTCATGCTAAATATTTTTTAGTTGTTATGTTTCATGAAGAGATTCAGAACATCCATGGGTGTATCTATGGCAGGATTTTTCTATATTAAAAAAGATTTTTTAATTTGGGTAATATTTATAATCTGATTCGTCTTTTTGATGTTTGTATATGAAAGAATTAATAACCATAGAAGCTATATTGAGTTCCTGGAGACGAGGTTATCTCTTTTTCGTATAATATGTATACATAACATATAAGGTAACGAGCACAATTGTTTCATAAAAATACATATATAATCGATAAATAATGATTATCTATTATATATCAAAATTATAAAGCGTGATTAAAAGATAAAACATTCAGAAGAGTTTTGTCAAAATGTCATTGTGTTTCTGCAAGTATTAAATTAGTTACAATAATGATGTAATTTTAAAATTACTAAGAAAGCATAGGCAGATTATTTATACTATAAAATTTATTGAGGCATCTATATAATAATATAAAAGACAATTTTCCACAATTTCTGTAAAATGCTTATATAATACAAATATTTTGATGAGATACATATAAAATAATACAAAGCTTTGTGTGTACGGTATGCGAATTACACAACAGTCCAGTAGAGACACGTCATTATACTATGTGCAGCGAAAGAGTAAAGGTGAATCAACTCCAACTTGGTCAACGTTACATGAAAGAGATGGAAAAACACACCGGCAAGCGTTGGAAGTTAAGACACGAATCTGATATCTTTCACTTATTTTGTATTTCACATTTTTAAATCAATATCATACCATCTTAATCATAAGTACAGTACTTTTAAGATTTTACAGTTTTTTTTAAATGTATTACCCGTCAATCACACCACTATTTATATCCATTTAATATGACGTAGACCCTTCCACTTCAGGCTGACACGTGTTTATTCATTCGCTGCGCAGACTATAGCTTGTTAACAATGAAAGTGAGAATTTTTACACTACATAACACTACAACGGATGTGTTTTTCAGCATCATTTTACTGATGTACGTATTCCATACCATAGCCTACAGCAGCGGTTCTCAACCTTTTTTGTTGATGTACCCTATTAGCCCATTTGTTGTTTCTCAAGCACCCCTTATATTTTTGTATGTAAATTTTATAATTACTGCATTAGCTGCATGCAGTCCTTATAACTGAGCGCCATAAAAAAAACTCTAACTATAACTAAAAGTGCGCGCATGTAGTGACACGCATTGCATGGTGTTGGTACGATCCAGGCCTTCTTATTCCTAATACCAGTAATCCAGTAAAAACACAAAAAGCCCCAATCTTATCAAGCAATAATGCTCGGTTAAACCGTAATTTTACTACACTACAGGTTCTCTCGGCACTAACGGCATAAATAGACAGGCAAATCAAGTGGATAAACACGTTGTTTAGACTGTTAACAGGAAAATCGGTGTTCACACTGGGATATTTTAAAGCAGGTTTTTGTCGTTTCTTGTTTCTTGTGTTAATAATTTAAACAGCAAATTGATTAACATATGTCATTTTATAATGAAAATTAGATGTGCCCCTTCGATTTATGCTCGTACTCCTGGGGGTACATGTACACCCAGTTGAGAACCATAGGCCTACAGTATAATATATGTTTTGATTATGTTTAGAAATGACAGACATAAATGATCTTTCTATCATAGAAAAATCGTAATCATAGATTAGCGAAAAAATAATATACAAAATATTTTCTAGTTTTAAAAATTATTTCTTTGTAGGAATATCAAAGGTAAGTCACTTATCGAGTAACTCCGAGTGTTTAAACTCGGGGTTCATCAATAGGTGACTTACCGTTAACATTTACATTTAAAACATCAAATTCGTACAAGCCATTTTCTTTGTGTTCAGTCTTATGTGATTTATCATTTCGTAAACAATACAAAACTGAATCTAACAGACTGAAAATTACAGGCAGTAGAAATAGACTGTGAAATGCTGCAAATATAACCATTAATGTCACAATTTTAAAAATAGACACATATGTTTCTAATGGGCCGAAATATAAAACCGAAACACCTAAAACAGTAGATATACAAGCCTGTATTACTGGATATCCAGCATGATACAAACAACTCTTGATTTTTTCGTTTGCTATTTTGTTTTTGCAATTGATATATGCATAAGATGTGTGAACAGTATAATCTACACAAAATCCCGTGCACACTACTAATATTACCAATGCGGGAGTATTGACAGTTACATTCCATAAAGACATATATCCAATCAAACCAATTTGAATAGACACAATAGTGATGGCAACAGATATAAGAAACAATACGTTTGGGGTAAATAAAAGAAACAATAAAATTACTATCGCTGCAGCACAAGAAATACTTTTTATGCAGTTTGAAAGAATATTTAAAGAAAGTTCATAAAACATAAATCTAAAATTGTAGGCGATAATTGGAAATTTGCTGTTATCGGCAATTTTTCTTACATTTTGAAAGAAATATTTTTCGTCAATTCGAGATTCCCCATCAAAACTTGAAACGAGAAATCTCGATGCAGTAATTTTATCACCTTTTTCATTAAAGATAACGTCGTTTCTTAACCTGTTCGCTACTTTTACTTTCAAGAAAACGTCTTTAAATGCACCCACAAAGTCTTCGGAATCACTCAGATTATAACCAGAAAGCGAAAACTTCGCAACTGGAGATTTAGTAAATGCCAGAAATTCTCTCAGCCAACTTTCTGTGGTGGACGAATCGGATATAAATGGAGCAGACTCGAAACTTTGCAGAAGATTTTCTATGTCATTTTGTACAGTGATATTTGAGTAGTCTAATGTCTGGTTAATGACTATTTGCACTTGATGACTATAATTCGAAAAATACTTATATTCAGCATTTAGATATTGACGAGCATATGAAGAATAAGGAAAAAGTTCAATTATATTCTCTCCTTCTTGAATATATCTTATATTGTATATTGCACCGGTTAGATAAGTCACAAATACAACGATCACTATAGCTTTACTAATTGATTTTCCAAGTATTTCACCTAAAACATTACTTAAGAATAGTACAAAAATATTTTCTTTGTTCTTCACTTGTAAATTTACTTCTTTTTGGTTATCTATTTTCGAAGGATTTTGCTCACTCGGCCAGCAAAAGATAGAATGCAGCTTATTTTTCTCTCTGTATCCATCAAGCGCCATGAGTCCACCGAAAAAGAATAACTGGAAAATATAGTCGAACAATATTGAAAGAGCAGCATGTGTACAGAATATACGAATACAATTATATGGTGTTAGAAATCCTACGCAAAATGCAAGAAAATTTGTCAGTGACGTAATCGTGATGGACACTGCAGCTTCAGCAAAAGAGTCTTTCATTCTATCTGGAACGGAATCGTCGACGTCGGTTCTTCTCCACGCGGCTATCAATATAAATGCGTCATCTATCCCTATACCTGTAATAGGAATACGAAATTTAATTATCTATTTAAATGATATAGAAATAGTGTTGAGTTTATGTGGATAAGTAATGTAAGTGTCTGTAGTGTAGACATTAAGAATGTTAATTAATTTATTGATGATTATATATAATGTAAAATTACTATAATATGAGTTACAAATGAAACTGTTGCATGTATTCTTGTAAGGTAAAAAATGCGTGGTTATTTAATTAGTCATTTAATTATTTTAAAAGCAAACTATTTTTTCAAGAATCAAAGTTTTTAATTAATAATCTTGAACAGTAATATTTAGTTGTTTAAATTACAAGATAATTATAATTAGCATTACATAATTATAAATTTTAATAGGTATAGCATATGCAAGATGATTATAATTAAAGTTGTTTTATTCAGAAGATTATGTCGTATCAACCATTAAATTGACACCAAAATTTGTGCACGATCTTCTGAAAAGATGCAGAAAACGATTTTGCAAAAACTACACTGCTGGCCATTAAAATTGCAACACCAAGAGGGAAAAGAAATTTTAAAAAAAAGATATTTATTGTACGTAAACAGTATGGCATAAAGACAAAATGATTAAATTTGCAAGCAGTTTAAAGTTTACGGGGGCGCGAAATTAGTAGACACAGTTGCCACCCCCAGCGGCTAAAACGGCCCTTATCCATTTAAGCATGGAGTCGAACTGGGCTTGAATGACAAAAACGGACAACTCATTCCATGCTGCTTCAAGTCTATGCCACGCTTCATCAACTGTATTAGCAGGAGATGGGTGGCGGGCCAGTCTCTCAGCAACCCATGACCAGATGTTTTCAATTAGTGAGAGATCTGGAGACCGTGCAGGCCAGGGCAACAATCGAATATCCTCTGTATCGAGGAAGGTCAGAACACGACGTGCAACATGAGGTCTTGCATTATCTTGTTGGAATATGGCATTTTGCAGGCCTCGAAGATAGGGCAAAACCACTGGACATAAGATGTCAGAAATGTATCGATCTGCATTCAAATTACCATCAATTCGAACTAGAGATGTGCGTGTCGTGTACCCAATGGTTGCCCATATGATCACACCAGGTGCATGGCCCCTAAGCATTCTAAAAGCTTCATCATCATTATTCACCATTATCATTTTACTGACAGGCTGTCAGTAAAATGATAATGGGATTTTAGACAACTGAGTCCTTTTCAACGTGACGAGGATCGAGATGGTTGTTTGCGTGTTCAGTAGTACTGTTTGCAGCTCTATTTTCCCTGCGAATTTGTTTTGCAGTGCGGTTTCCTTTGTTGCGGAAAATATTAGAATAAAAATTTTTCTTTGCAAAATGAAGCCAGACCTAACTGTGAGTAGGATAATGGAAAATGTCTGAATGTAATTTTTTCACGAGCTGCAAAGTGAAAAATGACTTATTGATTCTAGTGTTAAAATTTTTACACTAATTCAGCAAATCCTGCAAATCGTGGAAAAATATTTTTGTTGAGTGTGAACAGGTCGATCTGACAGCGCAATGCATAGATCGATGTGAATGTAACAAGAAATCAATAAACAAGCCCACCGTTAAGGGCCCAGAAGATGGTAACCATCATTTAATCCTCACTCGATGCCATCTTAAATTTATTTCTGAGATGGAATCATGAATGATTCCAGATCATGGATTCTGTGTTTGTCTCTGTAGTGTAATAATATATCTGTCTAATTTCCTATCTCAACTTATCGTAAGAAACCTCCTTCATGAGCGCAACGCTGAAGCATTGTTAAAAAATATCTCACGCAAGAAGCTAAAACGTCTGTAGTCAGTTATTTGGAAATTAACTTGTTGAGTATTTTCTGCTAAGCAAGTCGATTATTTTGTCATTCGCTAATGGTGACATACCAAACGACGTTAATATGTGTTTATATGAACTTTTCTTACATTGAGACTGATTTGTTCTTCACGTGAATCTCAATGAGAGTCATAATGGATAAAAATATTAATTGATCGTACTTCTTTTCTCGTCCATTCTGTTAACAAGGAAATCGTGTTGCAAGCTGCAAACACAAATTAGTTGCCTGACTACCCAGCTTCATCTGACGGTTGCATTAAGTCATACCTGATATTAGCAGCAGAACAGGATGCAAAAACTGGAAAACTTATTTTGCGACTTTTCCTCGAGATAACCGTGTTTTTTTCAAAAAATATTGTTTTATTATATAAATGATCGTACCTAAAATTAAATATAAATTCATATGTAAACGTTAAGAAAAAAAAAGATGAACACATACCTAACGTTAAGAATAAGATCGTCATGTTTAATGAAATATAACTTATTTTGCAGTAACACAGTAGACCAAATGCAGCAACAGTTGCTAAAAATGGTGATACGCAACCAGCAATACCTAGCCATGATTTGCTACTGAGATTGTCAGTGGAGAAGGATGAAACTGCTGAAAATATCATCACAATTGGAGCAACAATGAACACAAGAGGCAAAGCTTCTGCTCCAATTCGGTTAATTTCGTCATTAATAGAGTGACTTAATATTTTAGAAATTTTTGTATTGTTCAAGTTAATGCTCGATAATATTTCTAAACACGTTTGCTCCCATTTTAGTGCCATTTGTTTCTTCTCTTTCGTGGTGCGATCCATTACATAAACCAATCTAATTGCATTCGAATCTCGAATCATACTTTCTTCATTTACTTTCACTTCTCCAAATTCAAAAGCAGATAGTATTATTCGACCTCGAGTTACATCAGCTGGATATCTGTAGAAAAATTTATAGTATTACAAGATAAATATAAATTGCAAATATTTTCGTTATATAAATTGTTCGATGCTTTCTATAATCTAATAGAAAAATGTACTGTACAGTACATTTAATATAAGCATTAAAATTAAATTTATATTTTACTAGTAGATGAGCCCGGCATTGTTCAGCTAAAAATAACAACAGCAAAGATTAATATTATTACATTATTTTGTACAGTAGACCCCCTATAACGTGGGTTCCTATAACGGAAATTCCTATAACATAGCGAAAAAATTGCGGCAGTATTCGTATAAAGGGACTCCTAAAACGTCGTCGCCGACTCGTGTCGCGACAAGATTGGTCAAATCTGGACGAATAGTAGATGAGCAGCAGAACTACTTTCCGCCGTCCAGCGCTACGCTACGGAGAGTTTAGGCGGGTAAATTGAGTTTGCTATCGTCTGTACAGTATGTAAATTAGGTACCGTATGTCTAATACAGCACTAATTTTATACATTTCTTGCGAAAAAAACATTTCTTATTCAACAGCCATAAAAATTATTTATATTAATGATGTGTCCAAAGGTCAAGTTATTTTTCTGCGAAAAATTCGTTATCAGTAATCGCGGCCACCGTTTCGTGCGCTGTTCTGCGACGAAAACAAGCTTAAGCAATGGCTACGTCGAACGGTGCACACTCGGTAAGTAATCCTACAATTTTTTGTTTATAGCATAGTTTATACGGATTATTCCCAAAAAATTATACATGTTTTAGAAATGTTGAGTCGAATTAGTCTAGAATTGATTAATTTTATGGAAGAAAACCTTTCAAACAGCCGTAGTCCGTAAACTTCACACGTGTCGGGCTGTGATTGGCTCATGTATTTAAGGATTCCTACAACGTAAAATTCTTATAAAGTGGAACGTATCTAAGCGTTATAGGGGGTCTACTGTANTTTACTCTTCTGAGACTAATTAGAAAGTTTTCTGATGGGTAAAAATATGTTCGATTTTTCGCAAAAACACATAAAACCTGATTTAAAATAGTACAGTAAAAGCCGAGTACTTCAGTGTAATCCTTAACCTTCCCCCTCTTCCGCGGGGGCGAGAATTTCGAGAAATCCCTCGCGCGAGGAATTTTTAAAAATTCAATCTTAATGTACACAGTGCGCCAAATAAGTAATGAGACTGATTTTTTTTCCATGAACACTTTCGTGGTAACCAAATGTGGTTACCCTTTCACTGGCTAGATTGTGCTGAACACGCAGACACTTTGATCGTGTCGATGACTCAGCCAGTGCATGCACAGCAGCCGTGAAAGTAACGTTGTGCAAGTAGTGGCGGTCAAACGTAGCATTAGGGGTCAAAGAGCTGTGATAAAATTGTACTGTATATTAGCAAAAACAGCAGCAGAAGTTTACAAAGACATGCTACTTGTTTATGAGGATGATTGTCTTAGCCGTGCCCAAGTGTTCCGCTGGTTTTCAGCATTTAAGAATGGAAGAGAATCCTTAGAAGATGAACAACGTGTCGGACGTCCTGTGTCTACTCAGGCGGATGAAAATGTGGAAAAAGCCAAGGAAATTCTTGCCAGTGATAGACGAATTACCATCAGAATGCTCTCAGTAAACTCAGTAAGGAAACGGCCAGATCTATTTTATTGAAAAATTTGTTCTAGGTTTGTGCCACATTCATTGACAGAAGAGAAGAGAGGACGCCGAGCTGCGTGTTGCGCCAGTTTCATTCCGCAGTTGATGAGGATCCTAATCTATTGAAACGAATTGTAACTGGAGATGAAAGATAGTGTTTTCAGTTCGACCTGGAGACAAAACGTCAGAGTATGGAATAGCATGGAACATCGTCACTGAGGCAGAAGAAACTCAGGTTGCAGAAATCACACATCAAAACAATGGTGATTGGTTTTTTCGATGCTTCTGGAGTGATCAATCGTGAATTTCTCCCTGAGGGCACAACAGTGACTGGACAGTACTACTTAGGATTCATACGACGTCTCTTTGCTCGCATGCGTCGTGTCAGGATGCATTTGTTCCAAAGCAACAGTTGGGTTTTTCTGCATTACAATACACCGGCTCTCTGCTCAGCACCCGTGAACACAGTTTTTAGCATCAAAACAGATCTGTGTGCTGGAACATTCACCCTATTTGCCTGATTTGGCACCTGCAGACTTTTTTCTATTTCCGAAAATTAAATGTGCTTTAAAAGGGGAACGTTTTAGTGACATTGAGGATATCAAAAATACTGTGACCGACAGACTGAAGGAGGTTGTGTGGAGGTGCAAGGGGATTATTTTGAATCCACGTAACTGCGAAATTGAAATAAACTTCTTATTTCAATGTAATGCTAGTTGTCTCATTACTTATTTGGCGCACTGTGTATGTACCCTAACTGTGTACCAAATTTCAACTTTCAACTTCTAACCGTTTGGGCTCTGCGCGTATTATTATTATGTTGGGTTTTGTTATGGTTGTTATGTTGGGATTTGTTCGCTTATTATGTTGTTTCGGTTGATACCATGGCTGCGTACTATGCCTTATCAAAGTTAAGGCATAGTAACCAAAACAAAACAGCAATAAAAAAGTGTGTCAACGTGTGTGTCTGTATTCAGGAATTTCCTAAAATTATGACATGTATTTAATATAGTGACCTTCTGTAGTATAGTTTATGTGTTTCTATTCAATTGTAATGTGCCAACGCTTTTGTGTTGTATAGAGACGAGAGAACGACAGGTACAATAAGCACTCTTTCCACAGATACTTTACTTCCTGATCGAAATATGTATACATGTTGATTTTTCTGTGCATGTGTTTTGTATATTGTGAGTGTTTGGAACAGATATGTCTATAATGTATGTGATTTTATTATGTTTGTCAATAAGTGTGATGTTTGATTTTTTGTGGTAAATTGATTCATCTGTGATTAGGGAGGGCTCTGTCATAATACATTTTGTGTGTAGAACAGTTTCTTGTGAGGAACATTTTGTTTTCCAATACTGTCTGTGCAATGTATTTGTAGTATGGTTCGTGGATGTCTGATAATTTGTGCTTTTTCTCCAAGCTTTATTGCTCTATGGATCAGTAAAATTACCTGACTCTCCCACCACGACCAGGTGGTGAGTTATTATTATTATTTTTTACCACGGGACCACGGAAGTTGTTATTATTATTAATATTTGTATTATTATCATCAACCCATCTCGATTATATTATAAGATAACGATTAACAATAGAGTCGTGCCAGTCATCTATCTAATCTATCTATTTAACCTTTCAAAGAAAAATGTTCAAATCCAGATAACGTGACTTCCCATTTTTATTAAGAGATATTATATAGTTAATCTAAGCCTTCTACTTTGGATGGTTCGAAGTCATAAACAGGCAGACGGACGGACAGCATTGGAAATTTATAGGTCTACAATTTTTTTTTCAAATTGTGGACCAAAAGAATTAAAATGCATTCTTTGCAATGCGAATAGTTATCATGAGATAATTATGTATGAAACTAAGAGTAATCAGTCAAGTTGACACTAATGATTTACAGCTATATTATTACAATAATAAATATAATAGTCATTATATAACATAGTAATTATAACTTCTATCGAATAATACAACTATTTAATTTTATTTTTATTCATTTAAACTATGGCCATTAGTAACTAGCAGTAATTTTGCGATGCAAATTATTTACACCCGGACGAACTAGACCTTGATTAACTCTATCTTATCATAATATAAATATTCATTTAAAACGCTACAGGACGCTCAAATTCTAAATAAAAAATAGCACTTACTTGATTTTGTATTTTCCTTTTTTAATGTTATTTGTTTTTCCTTTCAAAGTTAAAGCAAAATTTTCATTACAAATATTCCTTTCTGTCCTACAACACAAATCTTCGTAACGTCGGAATGAATTGTTCCAAAGGATAGCGACATTTCGTACAATTTCGTCAAGTTTGATGATATCTTCGATTATTGATTCCTCCAATACAGATCTCCCGTTTTTAGGAGTAACAATTACTATTGCGGCTGCATCGAATCTTGATATTCTTCTGTGATCACATTGCGACATGTTGGCTGGAAAAATCGATTCAATAGCTGCTCTGTCAATCCAGCTTCTTGCATTGGATGGAACATAAAGATATTCTGCATCCTTTTGTAGTGGAATATTCAATAATCCGGATGCTAAAACGAGTGATAATATTAAAGTAACCGCAACGTATAGTTGGGGATAGCGACCAATATGATACCCAACACCAGATAATGTTGTAGAGATAATTCTCTTTATATACTCATGCTTCATTTCTATTAAAAAGCATTATTTGGGAAATATCAGAAAGGTAACTGAATTAAATATATATGTACAATTAAATATAAAAATGTAAAACAAAGTAATTTATTAATAAAGCTGTATTTTCATTTTAATGCGATGTTAATCGTGTGCAAATTACAGGAGCGATGTTAGAAAATATATGCCATAAAACAGTATATGCGTACTTACCTCGGTCTGTTTAGTATTTAATAATGAAGCCAAACGATGTACTTTGTTTGATTTTATCAATTCATAGTGAACGAAACATTACTTGTATAAACTTTATCAGATAAAACTTTATCCAAAGTTCAAGGTATAAATTATAAAATACAGTGGCATGCCGTCATTGCAAGCGGTGGAAGGGCCGCTTTCCTTGTACTATCGAAAAAATAAATACATATTGCGTGTTTATTTTCATATTTTAAAGTACTGTATTTTGGATTAATTAAAATTAGTATTTTATTATAACCACATTGTTTATCTTATTACAAATTTATATACTACATGTGAAAAAAACGATAAGTTTGCTATTGTATATTCGAAAATCAGTGGCAGAATAGAAGCGCTGTATTGTCGAATACGGGACGGCATCCAAGCAGCCAGATTATGCGCATTCGCGCATGCGCTTTACAGAGCACCAACCTCACGCGGTTTAGCTGATAGAAGTTACACATTTACCTATAACGCTTCCAATGATTCTATCCCGGACCGGTTCTGGACTGTTAACCGCCTGCTAGATATTTGTCCGCCCTCGCCTTATTATGTGAGTTGCGAGTATCACTTAACGCTCGTATATCCGGCCGTCGCGTCTTTATCCTTATTCGAAACAATCAAATCTTTTACAGCCAATACGGAATATCCCGTACCCGCGTTTGCGCGATCCTTTTGTAACGAACCGCTTACGTACGTTATAGAAAAGAAAATAGGAAAGCCACAATTTAAAATAATATATATTGGCGAAATCCCGTACGAATTATAAAATGGTTTTAATTCACCTGATTTTTTTAAAAGCCGAAATTACTTTTAATTTCAGTTAATATACTTGAATTTTTTTTGTGTATATTTAGAAAATTAAAAAAACATTTTCTGAAATTATTTTTATTTCTCTTATTTTCCGAAATAAAAGAAAGCGGAATCGACATTTCGTGTTATTTTTGGAAATTACGAGATTTTTGGCTATTTTTCGGTACGGATTGCGACGTGACCGGGGAATAATCCGGCAGGTCGTTTTTTTTTTCGCCGTTGGGAGGCGCGTTCCGTTTGAATCGTCGACATGTGTCGGTGTGGAGATTTGCTTGAAGAGTCGAGACGGAGAGTTAAATTCCGCGTAAATAGTGAAAAATAGTCAGATTCTACTGTTATTTCTCGCGAAGAAGCGTAAGAGTGGCGTAAATGCGTAATTCGGAGTCGACTTCGTAGCTGCGAGAACTTCGGACGAGACTTCTACTTTCGGTAAGTCAAGTTCTATTCGTATTAATTCGTATACGTTATTCGCGAAAATAGCGAAAATTCGGCACTCTTTTATCCCCCTCACGGTTTTCACCCTTTTCCAGTCTTCGGACGTCTGACAAAACTCGACCCTCCTTAGAACCCTTACGACTTTACGAATGATAAATACCGTAAAGAGAAACTAAACTGAGAAGAAATGCAAATACATGAGATAAAATGGACGTCCACGTAAGCTCGACCCCCCTCCCTTGTCCAACTTGTCGTAATTCCTATACCCTTCGTGTGTTATGGATGGCCCCTTACTTGCTTTTATTAATATTTAACCACGCATATAATGTATATCGAGACGAGTGGTTCCCAAAGTAGGCGCTACCGTCCTCTAGTCCCTTCCTTGCTGTAGTTGGGGTTTTGACTGCCACGATTCTTTCATCTGTTAAAACAAAAAGTAATGTTGCATTTAATGGTTTCCGGATGAGGAGATGGACGAACCATAAGGACGCGAAATGTGAGGTTTGTAGGAAAGTTTTTCCGAGAATACTTCGAAGTTTTTCTCGTGCCGGGAAAAACGGGTCGAGGGGCGTGGGGTGAAACTTCATGGAACCAAGGAGATGTGGCTTGTAAAAGTCTAGGAATTGCTGATTGTTAAAAATGGTGTAATTAGATTTTTCAAAAAAACACATACCCAAAGTTGGTGTATGGCTTATAAACCATTACCAAACAGATGTATACTGTAGGGTTAACTTTTTATTAATAAATACTTTGCAGTTTATATTCTAAAATTATATAAAAATCAATATATATAATAAAGGTAAGTGTGCAATGTGCGTGCCGCTAAAACTCAAAAACAAGTCCCGGTATGATCAAGAGAGTTATATGGTGTGGTAGCCCTTTATCCCCATCCGTGAAGAAGGTTCCCATTTTTGCCTGAAGAGTTGAAGATATAAGGGCTGGAAGTTTCACCCTCTAGAAATTTCTAGAACAGTCCAGAACATTCCAGAATGTTCGGGAACATACTGGAACATCCCAGATCATTGTGGAACATTCCAGAACATCATTGACCATTCGAAGCCTTTTTTGTATGGGTAGGACTACCCATTGGTGGGGGTATATAAAGCAAGATCCATCGTGGGCTTGAATGTCAGTTTCTTATCAGTGACAAAGGGAAGAACCAAAAAGGGAGTGAAAATTCCAAAGTAGTGCAGTGATTGAATAAAATCAAAGAGTGAAGTGTGAGTAGTCAAATTGATACAGTGACTGAACATAAAGTGTGAAAGCTGTGTAAAGTGTCCTTAGTGTATTTGTTAATAAAAAGTTGATTTGATTTATATTTTATACAATGCCCAAACTTCAAAGAGGAGGAGCTCTTGCCAGTTCTGAATTTTCTTTTGAATATTACCAGAAATTTTCTTTTCAATATTAAAGTTGACAATATATCGTCGACAATATTATTTTTAGTTGCCAAAATTGCCCTTTGAAATAGCCACTCCTAATAATAATAAGTGCAGAGCCCAAACAGTTAGGAGCTGAAGGTTCAAATTTGATGAACAGTTGGGTGCGTCGTGAGAACGTACCCTAAGAAGGAGTTTTTCGAAATTCCTCCCACTGGCGAGAGAGGATTGAGGCTTTCCATGAAGAACTCTGCTTGTATTACACTATTTTAGATGCAGTCTTTTGTGTTTTTGATTATGTTTTTATAGGATACGTCACGAGAATGTACACTAAGCAGGGATTTTTCGAAATTCCCATCGCAGGGCGAGGTTGTTAAGAATGAAAGTGTTAACAATGGAAGTGGTGAAGTAACAATTGAAGTGTTAAGAGAAAGCGAAGTGCAAGATTTACAGGCACAGATGCGGTTTTTTGCATTTTTGCGGGAAATTGAACATATTTTTAGTCCTATGTAAAAATTCTCTAATTAGTCTGGATTAATTCTTGCATTTTGTGAAAAAGGGTAAGATTGGCTATAATGTAATTTTAATCTTAATCTTAAATGTTTTCGAAAAGTTGAAATTGTTTTGGAATAGTCGAGGACTGTTGTGTGAGTAGTAGAAATGGCTTTTGGAGACATGTGATGCACATGCTTCAGATAATTTTTTATAAGTAAAAATGTATGTATAAAAGTGAAAATAAAAAACAATGTCAAAGCGTAAATTTTTGTGGTCTCAAATCATATCTCAAAGGTAAAAGATGGCGTGGAGAAATGAAACCACGGAAGAAAGAGAAGTACATCTAACATTGCTATGAGAAAATTATCAACGAAACAGAAATAATCAGACAGAAGAGCAACTTGAAAATTATAGGGAAACACATCAAATCAGAGAAAGATTACATTAAGGAAGAGAAACAGTCTTTTAAATATAAAAAAAACTATATTACATATAAATGTACGAACAAATAAAAACCCAGCGAAGTGGGTACTTTCAGCTAGTTTTATTCTAAAAATTGCAGTCATTTTTGTGGAATATTTTGCCATGCCTCAATGAGAGCAGCCTTTAGTTCAATAAGTATTGTATTGCTTTCCATTGCTATACATTTGGAAAACCAAGTCATCCCAAAGATTTTCAATTGGGTTTAAATCTTCACTGAGGGGTAGCCAGTCTAAAAGTCGGATGTTCTTTCTCTGAAAAAAGGATAATATTGATTTTGATACATGAAAGTTTTCATTATCCTGCATAAATTCAAAGTCCTGTCCAGCAATTTTCTGTCCATAAGTTTGGAGCTGCCTCCAGACAAGTTCCTAATAATATATTTGTCAACATTGACATTAATCATTAACAGGACTATTATACTGATGTTAAGCATTTACACAAGAATGAGGAAATGTTTTAAGAGAAAAGAGACTTCTTTATTAAGTTACCTGTACACATACAAAGATTATCATCTGTGTTTTAGGCCATCGTGCCCTTCATCAGCAGGATTACAATATTTGACTATAAAATAATAAATAGATAATTAAGAAAATAAAAATAATTTATTGACAATATATTTATAAATTTAAGATATACAGGCATCCAATTACCAACAATAATTGGTTTTTATATTAAATTTTACTTCGCTTCATATTCCTATTTAAAATTAGAAATGTTTCATTAGAACTAAAAAAAAACATGTTAAAACTACCAATTCTGTTAAAAAAGCTTTACCTTTACAATGTTTGTTCTATCAAGTCACAATACTGGTGCATGTTGAACTTAACCAAGATATTAATACTCATTTGTTATCTAAAATGGCTGCCCATGATTGGTGGATTGTTCTGAAGTTATTATTTATTCTATTTTTTTGTTTTTAATATTTGTGTTTATATAACTGCCTTTTATAATTATTTGTTCTTTCTCTTTATTTTTATTGTATCTATTTTTATTTGACAACCATAATTGCAGTGTTCTGCCACTGCAGAATTTGCATAATTACCTCTGATTACTCTTTTATTCTAATTCCTAATTTTCCTTTTGTTTCCCCTATATAAGTTTTAGTAGGATCACAACTGCAATTAAATGAATAAACAACTTCTTTTTCATCTATTAATTCAAATTCCTTATCTGACCTATAATATAAATATCTCTTAAATTTTAGAAGAAGTTAATAATAATGTAGTTGTAGAGATCCCCAAGTCTATTAACCTCAACCTGATTTAGATGCCATTCTAAAACCATTGTTCTGACATTCGTCCACTTCTTCAAAAGATCTTTAATAGAAGATATTGGCATTAATCCTATTTTACAGAAGAAAACACATCTCACCGAGTTTCTTGGTGTTTTTTCATTCAAGAGTTATTGGTGTTCTTTTGTCATCAGATCCGTTTCAGGTTTTATTATGATCTCTTCAATGTTCTTTATTTCTCAGATGTGATTTTTGTTACTCCTTTAGCTGCTTGAGTCTTCTTGATAATGCAGTATCTATCTTAGATAAGATTGAACTGCTGCCTACTATAGACTTGTTCAAGCAATACTGTTCAGCAACATCAGACATTTTCCTTTCACTCTCTACTTTTGCTATTATACTTTCACCTTTTGAAAATAAAAACAGACACAAAACTTAACTCGTGCCTTGCCTGACAATCTCGCAAATACTATAAAAGAATTGTTTCTGTCAGAAAAATAAAAGGCTGGAATTACAAGGGAGAGTTTCAAAGTTTAGAGGAATACTGTTCTATCAGTATATAGTGGATTGCGCGCAGTGATGACATTTGAAATATTTAACAAAGGGTTTGCTAACAGAAAATTTTTCCTTAACAATTTTTTTTTCCGCTCAAATAGTGCATCAGAAGGCTCTAGTTTAGTAGTGTTACAGAGTATAATACGTATATTTTAATATTTTTAAAAGAATCAAACCATTGAGAAATGTTACATATGTTTAACAAGGTTTGGAAAACTTTGAAAATGTTAACAANCGCTCAAATAGTGCATCGGAAGGCTCTAGTTTAGTAGTGTTACAGAGTATAATACGTATATTTTAATATTTTTAAAAGAATCAAACCATTGAGAAATGTTACATATGTTTAACAAGGTTTGGAAAACTTTGAAAATGTTAACAACGGGTTCGGCCGAACCTGTGTGAACCCGCTGAATATCACCACTGATTGTGCGTCAATGTCAACGTCTCCCGTGCTCCAAAAAGATTCAGATTGTTGTCTTAAGACAAGGGAAGACCAGTTATTTTACGTCACTTCTTCTTGTGTTTGTTCTGTGAGGTGTTCATTGTCTGAACATAAAAATTTTTCGCGAAAGTGTTTGTTATCCAATTTGTTTGTTAACTGATCACCCACTGCATTTTAGATTAAGAGAGAGCTTTGCTTTAATTTAAGCTTGTTTTCATCATTATAGGATAACATAGAATACACAATTATAAACTTGATGCAACAATATGTTGATTAATAGAAATAAAATTGAATCCAATGTCATATATGATTATTTTTATTTATTGCACAGACAGTAATTAAAGGACTTTTTGACATTCAAAAATATAAAATTTATTTATGATGATGAGTTTGGATTGAATTTTTATCAGGCTCAAAAATTTCATTTAAGGATGAACTTCAAGTAATGAACATCAATAACTATTGTGAAAAGGAAAATTTTCATATTGAAATTATTTTCCCATTGTGGCCATTTTTTTCTAACTTCTAAAAACATACCTTTTCATTATTTAAGTCATTTTAACCAAAGTTAATAAGAAAAATTACATAAAAATTGCATGCATAAAATGGAACTATAATTCAATTGAATAACACCTAAACAGAAATTTCCAGCAAACAAATACAATGGGTGATCGGTTAACAAACATAATCCGTTCCAAGACTTTGTTCGCTATCCGAATTGTTCGTTAACCGATTATCGATTTACCATAGGTTTCTATGGGAATTTGATTAATTGGTTCTGGAGACCCCCCCAAAATAAAAAATATATACTTTCTTACTACCTTTATTTATATGTTTTGATGATAATAAAAATACATACATACACAGTCTTGTGTTTTTATTAGTCGTGTTTTTTTTCTGTTTGAAAGGGTTAAAGAATCTGTTCTAATGTCGATTGCTTTTCTCTCTTCTTCAGGATTTTTTGTAAGTAATTAATAGCATTGCAATTGCAGAAATCCCCAAGCCTTAACCTGGTTTGGATGCTATTCTAAGACCGTTGTTCTGACATCCTCCTACTTCAAAGGATCTTTAATAACAGATATCGGCATTAATCCTCTTTTTCAGAAGAAAACATATCTCGCCGAGTTTCTTGGTGTTCTTCATTCAAGAGTTCTTGGCGTTCTTCTGTCGTCAGATCCATTTCGTGTTCCATTATGAACTGTTCGATATTCTTTATTTCTCAGATGTGATTTTTGTTACTCCTTTAGCTGCTTGAGTCTTCTTGATTATACAGTGTTTTTTAAATAAGATTGAACTTGAGCCTACTGTAGACCTGTTTACGCCATACTGCCCAGCAACATTAGGCATCTTATGCCCACTCTCTATCTTTGCTATTATACTCTCACCTTTCGAAAAGAAAAACCGACGCAAAACTTAACGAGTGCCTACCCGACAGTCTCACGAATACATAAAATAATTGTTTTGTCAGAAAAATAAAAGGCTGAAATTACAAGGAAGAGTTTCAAAGTTCGGAGGAATAATATCCGATCGGTATATATCGGCTTGAGCGTCGATGTCGACGTCTCCCACACTCCGAAAAGTTTCGAATTGTTGCCCGAAGACAAGGGAAGACCAATCGGTATTCATTAATTTACGTCACTTCTTCTTGTGTTTGTTCTGTGGGGTGTTCGTTATCCGATCATGTGTTCGTTGTCCAAACATAAAAATCTTTCGCGAAAGTGTTCGTTATCCGATTTGTTCGTTATGCGATCTGTTCGTTAACTGATCACCCACTGTAATTTTATCTGCTCAAACATTTTTTACCATAGTTTATCAAACAACTACAGATTAACAATAGAATTACATCAAGAAGGCTACACAGAAGTTAATTACTTAGACATCAAGATTCACGTTGCATATAATAAGATAAACATCAAAATTTATTGCAAATTTACATATGATCCAGCCTATACCAGCTTACTCAGATGACTCATGGTTTTATAAGGTAGCCACTTTCCGCATTCTAGTCACAAGAGCGTACTCACATTGTACTGAGTTGTCTGGTAATGTTCTGAACTGTGAGGGATGTGAGGGTCAGGAAATCTGTATAAAGTTCACCAGGGAAAGTTGGAGTTGTGGAATTTAAAACAAAAATTTGAGTAGGGCTTTGTAGGGTTAGTAATATAGTTTTAATATCAAGTTCACATATGTTATTTTCAAATAACTATTTTTTATCTTGCAGGTTTTAGCTATACTACAAATTATTGATGTAATGTCTGTGGACCCCTAGATGTGGTTTCCTGTCCGTGGTGAGGGACCTCCCAGAGATAGTTTAGTAATTCTTCTTTACCATCCCTGGGATCTGAACGCCCACCCACGTGTTCGCCGTGCGTGGTGTCCCGTATGCCGGAAAGGGGGATCCTGGTAGTTGAGGGGCAACATAACGTCCCCAACACACTGCTTTGGCCCGTGCTTCGGATAAACGGGAGGCTCAAATCAGGCTCCGTTTGAGTCAATTGGCTGGTCATTGAGTCATTCTTGACCTCGGCCTGGAGTCAACCGATCGATGCAGACACAGACAAGATGTGCTCTTTTTGACTGCATTGTGAGGGAATAGCTCCTGGGAAACCCTGGTGTGACGGTCTATGGAAGTACTCCATGTGATGGCATCCCCTTGTTGGGCCCTGTGATGGGTGGGGTCACTAGTAGCTGAATATTTTTTTTTATAAATATGGATTCTCTAAAATCTAAAACATCAAATATACCACCAAGAGTTGTCAGCTTCCCCAATCAACAAGCCTACCTTATTGTTCATGCTATGGGAGAAACACCTTTGTCTAAATGTTCTTATTTTTTAATTCAGAAACTTTTTGAATCAACTATTGGGCACCTTAAAAAAATCCAAAAATTGAGGTCAGGAGATCTCGTAGAAACAGCCTCCTCTCAACAGTCAGAAAAACTTTTGAAAATGAAGTCTCTAGGAGATATACAAGTCACTATCACACCACACACAAGTTTGAACTTATCGTGTGGTGTGATATCTGAAATTGATCTGATGTCTGAGGAAGAATCAGGTGTTCAGATCAGCCTTTCAAATCAAGGAGTTACTGCTGTACGATGCATCTCCATTCATTGAGATGGCAAGAATTATTGCATTTTTTTCACAAAACCTTGAACATTTCTGGTATTTAGATAGTTGTACAGGCACATCTGAAGTTAAAAAAATGAGCATTATCATCATCATGAAATAATGCTATACTTTCATCTTGTAATGCAATATTATGAAGAACTATAATATGCACTGCATTCTTCAAATTATAGTGTAGTCCAATAGAAAGGCTAAGGAAATGTCTGTCATAAACCATATTACCTTTCAACAGGATTCCTGTCTACTTTTCATTTGTTTGGTGAAATAAAACTGCCAAATTTTTTACTTATATTGATTTAGTTAACTCTTAAGCAAAATTTATGGCCCTGAAAAGGGCCTTTTAATTTAATAATAATGTCTGAAATATGTTTGCATAACCTTAAAAGATTATGCAAACATTTCAAAAGTTAAATTCTAAAGAAATCTGCTATTAATGCATTTTTCTTTTCAAATCCAGCTCTGCATTCTGACTTCTGACAACAGGCACCGGAACATCATCATTCATGGAAATATCAAATTTTGTTGGAACTGTCATATTTCCATGTGAAATTGCAATGTTATGAAGCACTGCAGTGGCAACTATGACAGCCATAGCATTTTGTAGGTTGCAACGTAAACCTACTGACAAACAGGGAAAACGTCGTTTCCACAAACCATATTGCCGTTCCACTGTGTTCCGTGCTTTTATGTGGCATCTGTTATATCTTTCAAAGAAAAAATAATTTATATTAATTTTGAAATATACATGATCATTTAAAACTATATTATGCATTAAATATATTTTAATAATATATATTATATAAAAGTAATAATTACCTTTTTTCTTGATTACTTTCTGGATTTTATATTGGTGTTAATAGATATGTCTTGCATCCATATCCACTGTCACCAAGATGGTGATATTTCGATGGAATGTCTCCTACTTAAAACATAGCACACAGATGACTATCGGCAAGTATAGTGCTATCATGAGAACTACCTGGCAATCTAGGTACTATATTTCTGATTTTAAGTTGGCTATCTGAAACTGTCTGAACATTAATAGGAAAATATCCTTTTCTATTTCAAAATTATTCAGCACTTTCTCCTTTTGGTGACTGAATTGGAATGTGGGTGCAGTCAATGGCTCCATACACACATGGAAAACCACTCAAATGAAAAAAGTCTTGACTTATCTGAAAATATAAATATATACTTGATCTATTATTTTTATATTTTATTACAGTTCATACTTTGAAAAGTAATGTATTAATTAAATGAATAAAAACTATACTGTATATAATTTAAATTAATGATTCTAATATAGAAACTTGTAAAAAAAAACAAGATAAAATTATTTTATTACTATAGTAGTGAAAGATAAAGGGATGTTATGCCTACTTACTTGCTTCCTTTCAGATTCTGTTTTAGGCAACTGGATATAATCTGCTGAGATTTGAACAATTAAGAAACTGACTCTATTAATCGCTCTACAAACAGATGATTGACTTAAATCATTTAAATTGCCTATGACCAACTGAAATGTTCCTGTGGCACAAAATCGTAGAGCCAACAACGGTTGTTCCATCGGCGACATTTCATAATTTTTCGATGATGTTGAAACTAAATTGTGACCAATTCGTTCTAGTAGATTTCTTACGCTCTCTTTTGGCAAACGATATCGACATAGAAAGTGGTAATCGTCCAATTGTTCAAGGTCATTTCTTCTTGGAGAAATAATCCTCCAACTTCTTTGTTCCATACAATCTATATAATCTAGATATTTCAGATTTTCTAACATTTTGGCTTTGTCCTCATTGAATGTTGCCATTTTTCCCTGAAATAGATCGCTTTGTGCAGGTGTCAAACCTAGAGTTATCGTCTACTTGCCGATTTGCTAGAGTTAGGGTTATTGTGTTTGACTCGAGATTTGGAGTTGATAAATACCAATTTACCAATAACTCGAGAGTTAACCCTAACTTTAACTCGTGTTGGTGAATATGGGGGTTACATATTTTTTTTCCAAACCCAATTGTTCATTTCTATATGGGATTCTGTATGACTTCAGCCTGCCTTTTTTTCCCTCTCTTTTTAACCTTAAGAATTTAGTCTTTTAAGGGAATGATACAGATATTTCAATTTTACTGTGAACATTAACATGTAAGTGTGATTTTTATACTTTAATATTTAATGTTGTTGTAGATTTTAAAATGTTTAAATTTGACCTTTTATCATTCTAACTCTATTGAACATTTTTAAACCTGCAGCAGATCCTAATAGGATTGAAAATATTTTTTATAGCATATTTATATTAAATTATATTTGCTGGTATATTTAGAATGTTTCGTTGGTGTTGTTTACAAATGTATAACCGGCTTTGGGAAAATTTTACAGATTGCTAACAGCTATCATTACCAATATCTCTCACAAATTTTTCCAAACACTCAATTTAATTTTGTATCTTTAATGTTGGCACCATAAAAATTACTACTGGTGGTAGCCATTTTGTTAGTTGTTAACATTATTTAAATGCAAGAAGCAAGTCAATTGCAAAGGAACTCGGAAGTTAAGTTATTGCCTAGTGCTGCAATCTCGTTAGAAACTGCGTAACTTTTCAGCAGTCTAAATATTACAGGTTTCTTGCTATTACTTAAATGCAGTAACTTATCTTCTCACAGCTGGTTATATAGTAAATAACACCAAGAAACCTTCATAATTAAATTAGCAAATAAATTTTTAATATACTTTGACAAGCACTTTCAACTCTAATTGTGATCTGCTCAGGTCAAAATATTCTATACAAAAATTTGGAATGCTTAAAAAGCAAAAGCAAGTTTAGCTGGAACATTTCAACCTGAAGCAGATCCCAATTAGGATCAAAAGCTCTTGTCAAAATATATTAAAAATCTATTTGCTGGTTTAATTAGAAAGGTTTGTTGGTGTTATTTGCAGTAACTTAATTTTTGTGGGACTGTCCCTATCATTTACTTTCAAACCCTTTAACTAACAGTGAAGTGATTTTATGTGATGCACTCACNCAAGCACTTTCAACTCTAATTGTGATCTGCTCAGGTCAAAATATTCTATACAAAAATTTGGAATGCTTAAAAAGCAAAAGCAAGTTTAAGTTTTAAAATAGCTGGAACATTTAAGCATTCCAAATGTTTGCATAGAACATTTCAACCTGAAGCAGATCCCAATTAGGATCAAAAGCTCTTGTCAAAATATATTAAAAATCTATTTGCTGCTTTAATTAGAAAGGTTTGTTGGTGTTATTTGCAGTAACTTAATTTTTGTGGGACTGCCCCTATCGTTTACTTTCAAACCCTTTAACTAACAGTGAAATGATTTTATGTGATGCACTAACTGTTGAAACTTTATTTTAAATCTTGTCTGCCTGTGAAGAAGNCCCTATCGTTTACTTTCAAACCCTTTAACTAACAGTGAAGTGATTTTATGTGATGCACTCACTAACTGTTGAAACTTTATTTTAAATGTTGTCTGCCTGTGAAGAAGAAACCTAGAAAACATTCATGAATTCCAGCAAAACAATTATAAAATGTTTTTGGCCTTTAATAGGCCAGCTTGAAGTCATACCATGTAATAAACCAAAATAATGAAATGTTTTACTAGTATTTGACTACTATAATGTTTTTGATCACTTTTGTTTAGTTATATTTTACATTGGGTATTTAATTTAGGGTGACTACTCCACACTACTGATTGGTAAAATAAAATTTGACAAGTCCTTTACTTTTAAGTGTGTATTATTGAAGAATGCAATTAACCACATGGTAATAGGACTGCTGAAAATATCAGTTTCAAAATGTCAAAATTTCTATGATCATAATTTATTTAGCAGCAAATATGCTTCTTGTAATGTTATGTCAGGATTACTATTATTGCAAATAGGGATCATGCAAAGTATATGTCCACGACTCTGCAGATGAGATAGATGGCATGTAGGCAGACCTTCAGACATCACTGGCACATGTCATATGCCAAGTGGGTTTTCTTTTTACAGTGAGGTCATAGGCCAGATCTACCTGCTATTGATCTCAATATTTCTGACTTATTAAATACTAATTTTATTATTTCGAAGACACATGGCTAGTTTTCCTTCAGTTATCATTATTTAGTTGATACGGTACATCTTTTCTGTACGCGTTTCGGGTTGTGCCCCTCCTCAGTCAACTATAATATAATGCATATTGTTTATTTATTACAGTAGGGAGAATGTACATAAGAATTAATGAGTACATAAATTATATATAAACATATCTTTAGGTTACATATTGTATAAATTAATTAAGAATCAAATTTTACAAGATTTTAACTATTTTAAATCCTTTTGTGGATAGACTATTATACATTACAATTTTAAAAAGTTTTAGTAAATAAAGATAACTGATGAAAAACTTTCCACGTGTCTTTGAAATACACTATAAAATTAGTGTTTAATAAGTCAAAAATACGGAAATACATAAAATAAAACCCAATATTTCAGCCAAGAAATTTGCCATTGATCTCACAAGTAACAAGTAAACATTACACAGATATATAATAGCAGTGTTCATCACAACATTACAGATATTTCTTAGTCTCACATTGAAACAAAAAAAAACTTCAGTTTCACAAGAAAACTTTCACACAGTTTCTGATTGAGAATTACAGTGAGTGACATATAAAAATGCAGATGTTAATTCTTCTTCTTCCTAGATATTTGCAAATAGTGTGCTAAATTTATAATATCAGATAGAGTACTTTTGCTACTTGACTAACATTATGTTTTTAATTATAGATTTTCTCTAACCATGGAAAGAAAGCAGAAAAAAAATTGCCATTGAGTTTTTGAGCAAACAATGTAATGCTTGCCGATGCTTACAAAAGGCACAGAAATTTTGGTGAGTGATGATTGATGTGAATAATGTTAGCTAGGAAAAAGTTTACAAGAAGGAAAAAGCAGTGTTAAAAGCCAATCAACAACAGTAACTTAGCTGTGGTCAGTGCTGTACAACAAATAATCCACAAGAAATACTACAGTCAAATAAGTTTCTCATCAATTATCAGCTTACTTAGAAAAACGGAACCTGTTGCAGCATTTGAAGCCTACAACAATAATTATGAGAATTTCTACTAGTAATGAGACATGATCATACTTCTGCAACATGGACACCAAGAATCAGGTAACACATTGGGCAATCTATTATTTTAGGCCAAAAATCTTCTATTTTTGAATAATGTTCTGATATTTTTCATTTGTAATTTTGGATTAAATCGGAACTTTGGTCTGTTATAAGACATTGCTGTTTTATGTTCTTTATTCGATTTTTTGCTTTTTGTTGTTTAACAGCAGAAAAGTGTTATTTTATTGGTACTGTTAATATTTTTATGGTTTCAAAGTATATGGACAATTTGATGGGAAAGCAAATAAGACACAAAAACAGCACATTTGATTTGAGGGCCCTTGTTTTTGATAATTTTTCTGACTTAACCTATTCGATATTGAAATTTTTATTTGTTGCCTGTGACACCATGTTGAATTTTTGTTGATGTTAAGCCTAAAAAATGTTTTTTTTTAATAATAGTGTTTACTGTATCGTAAAAAATTATTTTATTATGTTTCACAAACAAAATAAATATATTGAATAATATAGAAACAAAGAAAATGATATTTGAAAAGTTTGTTTTAATATAAAAATTGTGATGCATAGCGACATCTATATCAAAAACGTTCCGATGTAAATACGAAAATATTCGGGATCGCCCACACAGGTCAGTGAGGTCAACACGAATATTTTCGGGAACAATGTAGGACATGTTAAGCCTGGATTACACATTACTGGAATCTGCAACATAAACGTAAAACTGAAAGCTAAACTGACGAAACTTTCAGTTTTGGAATGTTCAGTTGGACAGAAACAAGACTGAAAACAGACTTAAATATTATTTAATTTTTCAGTTTTTGTTTCACTTTTCTGTCGTACTGCAATCAATAAAAACTCAAGGATTTGTGACACTTAGTCACATGTAGTTTGATTGTCGTAATGGCAGAAAGTGTAGCAAAAAGGAAGAAGAAACAAACAAATTTGGAATTATTTATTAAAGAAGTTAGAAAATACAAACGTCTATATGACAAAAAATGTAAAAAATTCAAAAATACATCAGTGAAACACAATATGGATGGTGATTGGCGCATTTCCGCATAACATTCATTTTGATGCCAGTGGAGTCAAGCTAAAACAAAAACATAACTGAAACAAAAACTCTGTTTCAGTTCTGTTTGAGTTTCTGTTTTCAGGTAATTTGGAGTCCAGGCTTTACTGTTTAAATGCTTTGATATTTTTTTATAATTTGGAGAGTATTATGGCTTTTTTTGTGTTTGGCATTGGTTTTTTAGATGAATTGTTTGTTGTTTTTAATTAGATTTTAAGTATTATTTGGATGAACAAGTTCCTTCTGTTTTTTTGAAGTTATATATTGTTCATCCTCTTAAATGGTAGCATATATCCATATATTTTGAACTAACAGGAGAGACAGATGGCAAAAAATCATACCTTTAAAACCCAGCAATGAATTTAACAAAATAAGAATGTTTTCGACCAGTTTCACTGACCCTTCAGTTAGAATACAACAGAAAAATAGAAGATGAACACAAAAATTTTAAAACAAGAACAAGAATTCAAAGAAATAAATAAAGAAATAACAAGTAAAAATAAACAAATAAATATCATTATCATCATTTAACCAGTTGTTTTTGGGGTACTACTATTGTTTTAAGGCTGGTATACACGGTAAGGAAATCCTCAAAGGATGTGCTTAACAGATGAAAAAAACTCGGATATAACTGGCTGGATCGAACATAGTAATTTACAAAACTTATTAAAATATCTCCCAACATATAAAGATTTATTTATATTTAAAAATGGATANACAAAATTTTAAAACAAGAACAAGAATTCAAAGAAATAAATAAAGAAATAACAAGTAAAAATAAACAAATAAGTATCATTATCCTCATTTAACCAGTTGTTTTTGGGGTACTACTATTGTTTTATAAACTGGTTTTAGTTAAACTGGTTTCTAAAACAATTTAGGAGAAACCAGTTTTAGTTAAACTGGTGCACAGTACTCCAGTTGGAGTAAGTGTCAATTTTTTTTTTGTAATTAACTAGTTGGTGGCAATTTAAGCACTGATAGGCTTTTATCTACATAGACTAAGTCTGTTTCAACAAATACGATATTTGTTACCATCCCATATTTTTAAAATTACCCACAAAACTCCTCCTTTTCATGTTAAGTCTATGGGAGACCCTTCTTTTGTTCATCGGGCAATAAAAGCCTTGTTCGTATGCCTGTTGAGCTCTAATTGGTATATTATAATAATGAAATTGAAGATAGTCTGCCCAATAAAGGACCACCATTTATTATTTCCGTGTTCCAGACAATACACATTCTTGGCAACAGACCTTTCCTTTTAGGCTACTTGTTGCCAGAAGTTTAAAAAGTCCTTTTAAAAAACACAAAATATATATCCAATTAAAATTACAAATAATTTCTAAAAAGGAACTGGTGACATTCAGACGTCTTTCTTGCATCCATCATACCTTCGTTTGGGGTGATATTGCTTTTATCTACTAAAAAGAAGCACTGGAATATGTAGATTTAAAGAAAGCTGCCCCGTGGTGACAATACCTGTAGATTTTCATCTGTAAATTTTTTCGTCCGATGGAGATTATTTTTTAATAAAATTGAAGACAGTCTGCCCAATAAAGGACCACCATTTATTATTTCCGTGTTCCAGACAATACACATTCTTGGCAACAGACCTTTCCTTTTAGGCTACTTGTTGCCAGAAGTTTAAAAAGTTGTTTTAAAAAACACAAAAATATATCCAATTAAAATTACAAAAAATTTCTAAAAAAGGAACTGGTGACATTCAGACGTCTTTCTTGCATCCATCATACCTTCGTTTGGGGTGATATTGCTTTTATCTACTAAAAAGAAGCACTGGAATATGTAGATTTAATGAAAGCTGCCCCCTGGTGACGATACCTGTAGATTTTCATCTGTAAATTTTTTCGTCTGATGGAGATTATTTTTTAATAACAAAATTGACGACCGTCTGCTCAATAAAGGACCACTATTTATTATTTCCGTGTTCCAGACAATACACATTCTTGGCAACAGACCTTTCCTTTTAGGCTACTTGTTGCCAGAAGTTTAAAAAGTCCTTTTAAAAAACACAATATTATAGCTAAATGACTATCCTTTAACGAATAAGCATCGACTTGGTTAGTGGTTTGGGAACTTTCTTGGAAAAAGTTATATTTCTCTGGAGCTACATTGTCAACTATAAATGTAAACAATCATAAATAATTACTGTCATTTAATTTTTAGCTTGAATTTAATAAAATCATATGTATATTTATCCTATTTAACGAATAATAGTGTATTTAGGACCATTCAGTTGTAAATCTGTCTAAAAACAAAGTACTTTTGGTTAGGAACTACTCACATCCTCACAGTGATCTCTATTAAGTCCTCTAGCAGAATGGTACTTGACCTAGATTTTGAAGCAACCANATAAGTTTCTAAATAATACATTATAAAATAAATGAAGATTTATACTATAATTTTCTATAAATTTATTTTATAAAATGGTGTATTATAAATTATTTTGATTTTTTGTGGGAGCTTATTGTAAAGCTTTTTATGTCAAATAATGTCTCAACAAATACAGAAATAAACCAATTACAGTTCTAAAAAGATTACTATTGATTTTATCAGCCAATAATCTTTCTTCTTACTGCTAATTACTTTACAATGGTAAGGGACTGACTTTTCCGAAATATTTATGACCTGGAATGGTGAGAAAACATTTATTGGTTCAAACAAATACAAGAAAGCAAATCAAAGCTTAGATAGCTACGAACTTCATTTCATTTTTTACATTACCTTCATTATATATTTTGTGGTTAACTTTTTTAATTATTTTATCGCTAACCGACGAATGGCAGCTTCTCGGCAAAACTAATAATAGTACAAAGAAGCCGAATCGCAGGGGCCCCTGTAAAGTTGGCTATCCAAAGGAAAAGATGCCATTTAGGAACCAATTTTAACAAATTGAAAAAATTCGAATGAAGCTTTTTTCCAGATAAAATAGATGTTTCCTTTTAAATAATAATAAACAATTTTTTCATTTGAAGCCATTCTTTTTAATGACTTGTACGTTGAGGGGTTAACGCCAATATCAATTTCTTTCCACCTAGATATATTCCATGTTGCTTCATCTCCTGTAACAGAATCAACATATAAACCTGCTTTTTCTATTTGAATAATAGCTTCTATTAAAAGTTTTGCTAATATATTTCCTTTAACATTTTTACGTGTTCCAAATACTCCTACAATTTGAACCCGATCTCCTACAAAAGGCTGAAATAATAGTACNATTTATTATTTCCGTGTTCCAGACAATACACATTCTTGGCAACAGACCTTTCCTTTTAGGCTACTTGTTGCCAGAAGTTTAAAAAGTCCTTTTAAAAAACACTATATTATAGCTAAATGACTATCCTTTAACGAATAAGCATCGACTTGGGTTAGTGGTTTGGGAACTTTCTTGGAAAAAGTTATATTTCTCTGGAGCTACATTGTCAGCTATAAATGTAAACAATCATAAATCATTACTGTCATTTAATTTTTAGCTTGAATTTAATAAAATCATATGTATATATATCCTATTTAACGAATAATAGTGTATTTAGGATCATTCAGTTGTAAATCTGTCTAAAAACAAAGTACTTTTGGTTAGGAACTACTCACGTCCTCACAGTGATCTCTATCAAGTCCTCTAGCAGAATGGTACTTGACCTAGATTTTGAAGCAACCAACCCCCGCAAGACAATCTTTGTTATATAGAGGAGAAGAGGGAGATACCATTTACATTTCTAAAAATAACTTTACTGATTTTTGAATAAAAATCCCAAAATCATCATGAGTACATACTATAACTAATTGTAATGAACTGTCACTTGTAAAAAAATACTGTTTATTTTGTTGTTATAAAACAAAATTATTTAAAGTCACAAATGAAGGGTAATATGGACTTGGTGGTTTAAACCATTGAAAAACTAATTAGACTTCATAAAACATAGTTATTTTTAACTATAAAAACTAAATTTTT